CTGATTCGGGCCTCCTGTATTCCCTCCGCTTCCACTTGCCAGTTCCTTCACTGAGCAGTGGCAGCGTGTGGGTGTACATACAAACACAGGTAAAATTTAGATATTTTTATCCTCCTACACTCTTCTTAAATGTAGAGTCAGTTCTGATCATATTTGAATATAGTCATGGTGATGATTTTTCTTTCCCTTTGTTCTTGTGCCTCTCAATTTTCTGCCTTTCTTGGTTCACGTTGGACTTGATATTCCTGGTGAATATCATGAGGAAATGAATAACATGAGGAAAGCCTATCTGGCTGCGCATCTTTACACACACCTTGAGATGGACCTAACCTCTGCCCACCCAGAGGAGTGCTGGATCCCAATAGTAGCAATCTCTACTGCTCTGTGGAGAGGCGCAGGGATGTTCTGGGATGTTCTGGGTGCTTGTGTTTGGGAGTAGCTTTAAAACATCTAGAATAGCTCTGGGTTTTTTATTTGTTTGTTTTTGTGGTGCTGGGGATTAAACCCTGGGCCTCTTGAATAGGGAAGCATGGACCACAGAGCCACACCCCAGGCCTAGAATAACACTCTGAATTACTATTGTTTCTGTCATCAGTGGTCATGGTATCTCGATATTTGTTTCTCTTTGCTTAACAAACACCCAAACACACATGCCTTACCCTCCTAGAAATGAGAAGAGATTATGAAACAAAAGTGTATGTACTCCTTACAATATGATGTCATCAGGCAGAAACTCAAAAACAGAAAAAAATGGAAATTTACCAGGAATTAATATGAAGTCCTGTAGTTTGATTTTAAAAAATAAATTGTACAAATAGATATTTGACTGAAATTCACATCTACATTTGAGGATTCTCCAATTTGATGTAAGCCAATAGCCTAATGTATGTCCTGACCTATCTAGGATAGGCAGGAGTCCCGGTGGCAAAGCAGACTGGAAATAACTGCTGAGGCAGTGGCCAGTCAGATAGTATGAAGTCAGCAGTCTTAGAAGAGATGAGGCAGAGCAAGGTCAGAATGGTCAAAGACAAGAGACAGCCCAAGGTTGTGACTGGTGACAGCAAGAAAACAAAACGAGGAGATCTGTAATGTCAAAGCTTAGAAATGAGCACCAAGAAACAAGTGGGGAGGAGGCTGTAGGGAGAATGGAGGTCAGTTAGCCAACTCTCCTGCTGTAAAAAGGCTTCCAACTTTTGTTTCTTTTTTCTTTTTCTTCCAACCTTATTTTCCTAGGCAGCTTCCCAACACCTAGATTTCTCCATGCCCTAGAATTTAAATTCCTCTTAACCTAACCTCATCCAGTTAAAGTGATCTCTCTCTAAATGTGTTTAATAGGAAGAATCACCTGCATCGGATCAAAAACTCAGAGCCCATGTGTGGAGGCAGGGGTTCCTTTTGTTCTGCCCTGCTCCTCAACCTTAGTCGCTATTTCATTATTTCTGGATCATCTGCCCTCTCACACATGCTCTGGTCATTCCTGCTTCCCTGCCTCTGCTAATGCTTCTTCCTCTCTGATTTCCTTCCCTTTATCACATATGGTCTCCAGAGGTTCATCTCAAGTCCTACCTCTCTCATTTATCCTGTGATAGCTCCTCCTGCCCTCATTATCGTCTCCCTTCTCTCACAGTTCTGTATAATAGAATATGGTTCATTCATCATGGGCTGGAGGGGAATGATCCCTTTAACGTAATTAATAACTCCTCAAGTGGTTTGTGAACTTTGAAAGGATAGAAAAGTTTTCCAGACAGTGCATGGTACAGAAGAGAGTGGGGTCAGGAAAAATAATCTGATTTTTCAGTGCTGGCTCTATGATCTTTATTTAGCATATACCTCTCTCCAGGCCTTAGTTTCCTTCTGTGAAAAAATGAGGATTTATGATTCCATGCTCTGAGTTTCTTACACAGGTGATCAAATGTTTATATCCAATGATTACAGGCAACCTCATTTTTTAACTTATTAAGAACTCTAATAAAGTGAAGGATTATCATAAGAAGTTCCATCATGTTATTTAAATAAGGCAAGGGGATTTGGGAACCTGAATTTTGAGATGGATTTTAATTCATGCTCCACCACTTAATATATTGCCTTATAAAATTTTCTTACTTCTCTTGCAAAATGTGAATGTCAGTATGACAAGGATTATGGTGATAGAGCTGGCTTATATGCCAGTTTATAGGAGCCAATTGTCAAATATTTAGAAACTTTGTAAGCAAGATATTAAACCACTATTAGCTTAAATCTGCTATGGTGGGAGTATTTATACTGGGGAAATAAGCAAACACTACAAATCAGATGCCTATTGTTTTGGAGAGTTGATTTACCAGGACATAACTGAAAAGTGCAAACAGTGCTGTCAATTATAAAGCACTGTCTTACTTATCATTAAAATTAATAATGGTACTGGGCATGGTGGTGCATACCTATAATCCCAGCATTTGGAAATGCAAAAAAAGTAAATTTTTCATAAAATATACTTTGAATGATTTTTTTAATTAAAAACCACATGTGTATATGTGTGTGTGTGTGTGTGTGTGTGTGTGTAGCTGAAGATTGACCCAGGCCCTCACATGAAAATTTTAAATCTATTTTTAGTTAACATGTAAACTTTGTACATATCCATGGGGAACCATGTGATGTTTTAATACATATATACATTGTATAACACTCAAATCAGGGTAAACCTATCTGTTTGCCCAAACATTTATCAATTTTTTTGTGGAAAAATATTTAAAATCCTTTCTTTTAGATTGTTCAAAATAAAGCCATTATCATTACTTATAGTCACCCTGCTGTGCAATAGAACACCAGAACTTATTTCTCCCTTCTAACTGTAACTTAATAACCTATTGACCAACCTTTCCCCATTGTTCCTCCCCTGCACTTGTTCCAATCTCTGGTAACTAGTATTATATTTTCAACTTCAATCTCTGGTAACTATTCTATTTTCAACTTCTATGAGATCAACTATATTAGATGCCACATGTGAGTTCATATGGCACTTGTTTTTCTGTGCCTGACTTATCATCACTTAACATAATATTCTCTAGTTGCATCCACGTTGTCACAAATGACAGGATTTAATCTTTTTTCATAGCTGAATAATATTCCATTGTGCAAATGTACCATATTTTCTTTATTCATTCATCCATCAATGGACACTTTGGTTGTTTCCATTTCTTATTAATAGTGCTGCAGTGATAATGGGAGTGCAAGAGATTCCTTAATATAGCTTTCATTTCCTCTGGATAAATAACCAGTAGTGGTATTGCTGGACCATATAGTAATTCTAATTTTAAATTTTGGAGAATCTGCTATACTGTTTTTCATAATGGCTCTTCTTATTTACATTCCACTAACAGTTTATAGGGGTTACTTTTTCTTCCACATCCTTGCCAGCACTTATCTTTTGAAGAATAGCCATTCTAACGGGAGTAAGGTGATATCTCATTGTGGTTTTAATTCGCACTTCCCTGATTATTAGTTATGTCAAACATTTTTCCATATACCTGTTGGCCACTTGTATGTCTCTTTTTTAAAAGGAGAGAGAGAGAGAGAGAGAGAGAGAGAGAGAGAGAGAGAGAGAGAGAGAATTTTTTTAATATTTATTTTTCAATTTTTGGTGGACGCACATCTTTATTTTATTTTTATGTGGTTGAGGATTGAATCCAGCACCCCATGCATGCCAGGTGAGCGCATTACCGCTTGAGCCACATCCCCAGCCCCACTTGTATGTCTTCTTTTGAAAAATGTCTATGGGTCTGTTGCCCATATTAAATCATATTATTTCTTTTTATGCTGTTGAGTTTCTTATATATTATGGATATTAACACCTTATCAGATGTATAATTTGCAAATATGTTCTCTCATTCTGGAGGTTGTCTCTTCATTCTGTTGATTTTTTTTCCTTAGCTGTGCAAAATATTTTAGTTTAAATCCTGATTGTGTGTTTTTCATGTGTTTCCTGTGCTTTTGGGGTTTTATCCTGCTTTGACCAAATTTAAGAATGATGTTGCGTGAGCTAGCTGATCTAGAACAAATCTGTTTGAAAGGTTAGATAGCCCCATATTACTCATGTACAGATCAGAACTAAAGATCACGTTTGAAGAGCTGAGGCTCAGTTGTGTTGCTCCAGATTTGGTGCTGTATAATAAAAAACATTGATATCTCAGGAAGTTGTTTTGTCATACACAGAAGATATTTGTCTACATGACTTAATGAATGTCTTAGAAAATAAAGCAGTGCCCCAGTAAGATAATGCTTAAAAAAACAAGGAGAAAAAAAATAGTTGTAACTTATAGTAACATAAATTATAATAATGTAAGTACATATATACTGATTTCCCTTGTGGAAAAGGAAGTCATTTTATCTGATTAAAAAGATAACAGATCGAGGTATGGTGGCACATGCCTATGATCCCAATAACTCCGGAGGCTGAGGAAGGAAGATCACAAGTTTGAAGCCAGCCTGGGCAATTCAGCAAGACCCTACCTCAAAATAAAAAATAACAGGGGCTGGCGGTATAGCTCAGTGATAGAGGGTCCCTGGATTCAGTCTCCAGTATGTGAGGGGTGTTGGGGGAATGATAGTTATTAATACAGAATTCTTGGAATACCTTGAAAATCACAACACTCTAAACTGCTCCCAAGTCTAACCAATTAACTATTGTTAATTCTTTGGATGAATCCTTCTTGTCTTTTTCTTGTGGGTGTGTTTGTGTACCCTTTTAAATGAATTTTTCAATTTTATATATATATATATATACACACACACACACACACACATATAGTTCCAACCCTTTTAAATGATATGTCATGAACAATTTTCCATGTTAATAATTATTCTTTCACAACATAATTTTTCATTGTGAACAGTATTGCATCAAATAGAATAAACCACAATTTAATCCTCCTCATCATTTTAATGTTTTTATTATATAAACAGATGTAGTAGTAAGGACACTAAAGAAACAGTGATCTCAGGCCCTGCTTTTGTTTTCCCAGGTTTGGGAGCCCTCTTGTGCATCAGACCTCTATTCTAATAATCCTCTGAGTGTCATCTCAGGACCTTGGTCACACTCATGGCACGATGGCCAACCCTCAGGAGCACCTGAGCTGCTCCTCTTCTCCGCATTTCCCCTCTAGTGAAAACAAAACCTTCAATGGACTACAGGATGAGCGTGCAGCCATGGGGAACCACCCTCCACCCAGGCTCCTTGAGGACCAGCAGGAAAAGGGGGTCGTGCGAACAGAGCCAAGCGACAGCATGAACAGCCCCGTCACCACAACAGTATTGACCAGCGTGAGTGAGGATTCCAGGGACCAGTTCGAGAACAGTGTTCTTCAGCTAAGGGAACAAGATGAATCAGAGATGGCTGTGTCTCAGGGGAACAGCAACACCGTGGACGGGGAGAACACGGGTGCAACTGAAGACATCAAGATTCAGTTCAGCAGGTCAGGCAGCGGCAGTGGGGGGTTTCTTGAAGGATTGTTCGGCTGCCTAAGGCCTGTGTGGAACATCATTGGGAAGGCGTACTCCACCGATTACAAATTACAGCAGCAAGGTAAGACAGTGTGGGCGGGGCAAAGACTTCTTGCATGAGTGCACCATCAGCACCATTCCCTCCAACATTAAAAACTAGATGACCTTTGATGTGTGGGTCAGTTAAAGAACTAGGTTAGATGATTACCCCATGTCAGTTCCCTTCAGACCTTCTAAATAGACCAGATGCACATTTGGTGTGTCTCTTTTGGTTGGAACCCATCTTATATGGTCATCCTGTCTAGTGGTGTCCAAAGTAGAGAACATACAACACAATCCATGAGTTTATAAGAAAAAAATATTGTAACTCCTCTTTTTCTCTCTTTTAAAATTTCTATTTTCATGCCTTCAGATATATTTGATATTATAATATATTTGTGTAGATATACAATTTTTAAATAAATCACATAGTAGGTGCATGTTTAAGCATTTTTTTTTTTTTTTTTTTTTTTTTACTGTTAGCCTATACAATCAAAAGGTCTGATGGCCGGACTGGGGTTAGAGCTCAGTGGTAGAGAGGTTGCCTCACACACATGAGGCCCTGGGTTTGATCCTCAGCACCACATTAAAAAATTAATTAATTAATTAATTAAAAATAAAGATATTGTGTCCATCTACAACTAAAAAAAAAAATTTTAAAAAAAAAAGGTCTGATGGGTAAAGTGGCATGAGTCTCTAATCTTAACTACTCGGAGACTAGGTGGAAGGATCACTTGAGTCCAGGAGTTCAAAGACAGACTGGGCAACATAGCAAGACCTCATCTCAAAAGAAAAGAAAAAACAGTCTGATGGTCATTGGGCTAATTCATTACCAAGCAGAAGTCACATGGTAAAGTCCTTGAAGATCATAGGACTACCTTAGATTACAGTAAAAAGGAATTATTATTTTATAGTAAAGGCATAGAAAGCTCACATTTTGAGGAAAGAACAAAATATCTAACAAATCTGGAGAAGAATATGTCTAGATCCCACAGTTTTTTAAATAGTGATTTTTCAGTTGCCATTATTGTATAACATGTGTATTCATATATTAGAATTCAAGTATTATACTTTTGAAGTAGGGGGAACACGTGGTCCTCGTGTTCTTTATAACCTAACTTTATTCTCTAAAAGGACTTTTTACTGATAACAAAAGCAACATATGTATGAAATTTGAAAAATAAAAGTGACTTCCCTAAAATATGTTAAAATAATCTATGATCCTTACTCTCTTGAGAATAACTACCATTAATGTTTTAAGAATATGTTATGTTGGGCTCAGCACTTGTCTAGCATGAACGAAGCCCTTGGGTTCTATCCTCAGTGCCGCAAAAAAAAAAAAAAAATCAGCATGTATGTTGTTTGTGCATGTATATATACTTTTAAAAATGGAGACATACTATTTGTAGCATTTTTTCATTCATATTGTGAACATTGTGTCTATTTCTTAAATATATTTTAAGCATCATTTTTAACGCCTACCCAATATTAAATTGTCCAAATGTGCTAACATTTATTTAAAGAATCTCCTATTGCTCAACTCTGAATTTGTTTTTATTTTTAGAGATCATAAGTCACATTGCAATGAATATTTGTCTATCACTTTATTTTTGTATATATCTTTGTTTCGTTCTTAGTATAAATTCCTAGATGAACAATCATTGAGTCCAACAGATTTTTTTTTGTTTTTTTAAAGATTTCTTTTTAGTTGTAGATGTGCACAATACCTTTATTTTATTTATTTACGTGGTGCTGAGGATCAATGCTTGCAAGACAAGCACTCTACTACTGAGCCACAAACCCAGCCCAGATTTGTTATTTTTAAAGTTTTTGATACATGTCCTTGTGGCCTTATTTAAATGATTCTTTTCTTGAGTGCTAGCATCAAGAAATTCTGGAAGGAGCTGGGTGCGGTGGTGCATGCCTGTAATCCCAGCAGCTCAGGAGGCTGAGGCAGGAGGATTGTGAGTTCAAAGCCTGCCTCATCAAGGGTGAGACAGTAAGCAGCTCAGTGAGATCCTGTCTCTCAATAAAACATAAAATGAGGCTGGGGATGTTGTTCAATGGTCAAGTGCCCCTGAGTTCAATCCCCAATATCTCCCTGCCAAAAAAAAAAAAAAAAAAAAAAATTCTGGAAGGAAAAAAATATAGACCAAAATTGAGATTGTTTTATTTATCTTACAAGTAAATAACTGAATTTCAAACTCTGTGACCCTTCAGTCTGTTCATCTTTCAGTCAAGAGTATGGACAGCTTTTCTACAAGAATCTATTGACATCAGTCACCATAGTCCCTTTCCTCATGCATCTGTGTTTCCTATTTCCGAAATAGGAAAATACCAAAAAAATCAAATACCAACTTTCTCTCTGTACCCATCCTCCAGAAGTATATTGGGATTTTTACTAGTAAATCTAACAGTTCTAAGTACTTTTCAGGATTTTTCAACCACAGCATCCATTCCTGCTGCATGCAGAAATTCCTCATCAGTTTTGTGTTATACATATTCTGTCTGTCTGTCTCTCTTTCATGCATACACTAATACCCTACACATTCTACTCTCAGCTGCCTTCCATGATTTTTAGGTTCCAAGGAAATTAAAGTTGTTTCTTGTCACACAAAGTTTGAGGAGTCCTGTGTTAAGCAGTACTAAATAGCAATATGGATTAAAAATTGGAAATAAGGGCCAGGCACAGTGGCACACACTTGTAATCTCAGTGACTCCAGAGGCTATCCCAAGTTCAAAGCCAGCCTCAGCAATTTAGTGAGGCCCTCTCTCAAAATGAAAAATAAAAAAGACTAGGGAGATGGCTCAGTGGCTAAGCACCCCTGTTCAATGCCGGGTCCAAAAAAAAAAAGGAAATAAGGGTAAACACAAAAAAGAAAATAAAAATTACCTGTCATCCTAAAACCCTTTCTTTCTTTCTCATCCTACAATTAACTTTCTTCCTTCCTTCCTTCCTTCTTTCCTTTCTTTTTTGTGGTACTCAAAATCAGACCCAGGGTCTTGCACATGCAAGACAAGTACCCTACCACTCATCTATATCTGCATCTGTCCATAATCCATTCTTAATAAACATATTTAACTTATTATTTTTTAAAAGTTCCCTTTTCTCTGCTTAGACATAAAACCTAATAAAAAACTAACACCCACTTATGTAAAAAACGATATTTGATTTTGAGGGTTTTTACTTGTCCAGTCTTGTACTTATTTTGGTGATAATTTGAACATCGCAGTGTCCAAACACATCACTGAGGTTCAGACTCATAAAAGGGGGCAACAAACATATCCTGTACATCTGCTAAATGAAGCCTTTTAATTTTTTTTTTTTTTTTTTTTTTTAGTTCTACAAACTTGAATTCAATTTTATGTTCCAATCAATTATGTGACTTTCAGGAAACCTTATTTCAGGAAAAATTAAGAAACAGACCTGGTCAGCATTAATTCTCAACATGGTACAGCAGATGCCCAGCTCCTCAGCAGATTGCAAAGAGTTAGGCACTAAGGGCTAGTGTTGCTGTAGGCTTGAAGAGGGATTTACCAGCCAGAAACTGAATATAGTGCTTCCTTCTCAGCTCTGAGATCAGGGAGCTAATCTTTAATCCTACATTTGCAATCAACCACAGAATAACACATGTAACAGATGTATCCCCCTACTCTTGGTATTTAAGAGGAAATTTCACTAGATTTTTAAAAATTTTAATGATGTCTTCATCTCCCTTTTAAGTATCCTCATGGTGAAACCCAAGTAAGGTAGTATGTGTTATTGAAATATTTTATGGACAAATAGTTTCCCATCCTGAAGCAGGTATTATCATGGCCACGTCTAAATAAACAAAAGAAAACTTTTGCCTTAAAGTAGGTGTTTTAGTCAGCTTTTTCGCTGCTGTAACTAAAGGACCCAACCAACACAATTATAGAGGAGGAAGAGTTTATTTGAGTGCTGATGGTTTCTGAGGTCTTGGTCCATAGAAGGCTGGCTCCATTCCTCAGGGCTCCAGGTGAGGCTGAACATCATGGCAGGAGAGGGTGGCAAAGGAAAGAATCTCACATCATGATCAGATAGTAGAGAGACTCCACTAACCAGATACAAATATATACCCAAAGCCACTCCCCAATTCCCACCTCCTCCAGTCACACCCTACCACTTCAGTTACCACTCAGTTAATCCTATCAGGAGATCAAATCACAGATTGGGTTAAGACTCTTACAACCCAATCATTTCTCCTTTGACCCTTCTTGTCTCACACATGAGCTTTTGGGGAACACCTCACACCCAAATTATAACAGTGGATGATGTGAGGGTTTTCCTCAGTCTTATGAGTCACAATGGATATTGGAAATAAGTTAGTAGTTATTGTGATCAATCAATCAGAGAGAGAAAAAAAGAGTGTGAGAGAGAAGCTGGGAAAGGGTACAAATGGGATAGATATAAGAGCAGCAAAAATTCTTGGAACTAACTTTAGAGAGAATATAGCCAGTTCTGTCTTATAATGAGGTTAATTATCTTGCCTGACAGTTACCCAGCTATACAAATTTATATGTCCTTATTGCTTTCTCTTTCCTGCTACTTTCCCATTCTTTGGCTTTCTCCTGGTTACCAACAGGGACTGAAAGATGAAGCAGACAGGACTAAATTCACATTAATTGTTTTACTTCTGGTAATTAATTCCAACAAAAAGATTGATGGATACATGGTTGAAATATTGCTTTCTTTATTTTATACTCTTGTTCTTGAATGGCCAGTGCTATCCCTTTTCTTTTTCCATGGGTAATTAAGGCTTGACTGAATATAGCTGAATAGCACAGGCATGAGCTATCATTGGAAAAAGAGAATTTTATTCCTTATTATAATACCATAAACAGTTGATATTCGAATGCCAAATATATTTGCCATTTTCATTTTAATAATTCACTTATAATTCATTTTATAAAAATACTAAATACTAGGCATTATTTTAAAAAATATAGTGATTATAATGTAAGCATCATAACACAATATGAAGAGAAAGGATGAATTACTTAATTGAATGATTTAGGAATTACTAAATAGCAATACCCATAAAATTTACTTTATATTTGCCTTCACAACACATTCCAAAATAAACTGCAGAAGGATATAAAGGCTAAATTTTTAAAAATCAGCTCTAGATAGCTTTAGAAGACAGACTACATTTTCTACAATGGAAAAAATTACAAAGTAAATACTAAACTATAATGAAATATTTTGTTTAAAATACAGTAAAATTAGCTGGGTATGGTAGCACTTTCCTGTAATTCCAGCTACTCAGGAAGCTGAGGCAGGAGGATCACAAATTCAAGGCCAGCCTCAGCAACTTAGTGAGACCCTATCTTGAAATTTTTAAAAATTTTTAAAAAGGGACCAGGATATAGATCAATGGTAGAACACTTGCCTATTACTCATAAGGCCGAGATTCAATCCCCAGTACTATAAAAGAAAAAAAATAAAATTGAAGAAAAAGGCTTATGAAAAATATTCTTTTCATTTTTATCAAAAAATATTTAGAGAACTTCTTCAAATTTATTAGAATGACCCTGTCTGGATCCAGATAGATAAATGGACAATTCATACAAAGCAGATATGTGTATTAAACAAATGTGAAGAAATGGTCTGTATTTGACAATTAAACTAGTTCAAACTCATAAAAAACACTATTTTATACCTAATTAGATTAGAACAAAAAATAATTGATGATACTGCTGGCAGAGTTGTGATGAAACCAACAGGTTCAGACATTGCTACTATCAGCAAAACTAGTAAACTCCTCACTTATAATGAAAACAGTAAGTAGATGAAGAATCTGTAATACATGAAATAGTATATATCACTACAACTTTTACATAGCTGTAAACATAAAAACTAGAAAGGATTTTTAAAGAGGAATAAAATCACATCTATAATGGGCAATGAGCAAGGACCTGTGGTAGAAAAAGAGATAGAAAAGTTGACCAAACTTATAAGCTTAGGGTAAGAAGGTAGGGTTGGAGAAGTGTTAGGACATACTTTGCTTGAAAGATATCTCTAATCTGCTCAATTTTAGTGGTTTAAAATACACACACACACACACACAAATAAAATACCAAGATGCATAGAAAAGTTGTCTTTCAGTGGGGTCAGAGGGTAGGAGTTCCAGTGATGGTGATGTTGGTACCTTCAGAATGGCCTCATAGAATGGTCCCTGAGCAAATTTCAAGATCTCTTCAAGTCTGTTTCTCACTTGTGTGCCTAGATACTTGGGAAGTGCCATTTGAGGAGATCTCAGAGCTGCAGTGGCTGGGTAGTGGAGCCCAAGGAGCTGTCTTCTTGGGCAAATTCCGAGCAGAGGAAGTGGCCATCAAGAAAGTGAGAGAACAGAATGAGACGGATATCAAGCACTTGAGGAAGTTGAAGCACCCTAACATCATTGCATTCAAGTAGGTCAAGGCTTTATTTTTTTTTTTTTCAGAAATAGAGATATTTTATTTCTCTCAATATATGTACTTAGGTTCTTACTTTGAAAGACATTTCAAAATCACTGGTAGATTTAGCACTGTGCTAGATTGATTGGAAGGACATTAAAGAACTATAAAATCTGAGTCATGTCCTGAAACCTTAAGAGGATCTTTTCACTATAAAAGTTCATTTTGCACAAGCATGCACTGCATGGGAGAGACACACACATGGGGCAGGGAGGAAGGAAGTGGGTTTCTACCAAGCAGTCAGGCCTTCTGCAACAACCTCATTTATCAACGGGGTGACAGAGGTCACTTCAAAATAACCTAATATCCCAAGACTCAGTTTAAAAAAAAAAAGCTAATGTCTGAAGTGTTCAGAGAATATCCAATCCCTGTGTAATAGATATTTACTAGTTTCTATTAGCATTCCTTCTTAATATTGTCTTATAATAAACAGGTACTTTCAGAGCATAATCTCAGGTTTTACTAGATCCCTTTTCTATCAATGCAAAAGTTTTCTAAATCTTGTGATAGTGGAGTTATTGATGATATTAATTTATGTTATATTCCTTTCACAAAGTAGTTGTTTTGGGGCTGGGGATATGGCTCAAGCGGTAGGTAGCGCGCTCGCCTGGCATGCGTGCGGCCCGGGTTCGATCCTCAGCACCACATACAAACAAAGATGTTGTGTCTGCTGAAAACTAAAAAAAATAAATATTAAAATTCTCTCTCTCTCTGTCTCTTTAAAAAAAAACAAAAACAAAGTAGTTGTTTCCAAGAGTGTGTGAGCATATATTTCTAGTCTAGACTATTATTTCTTAATATCAACTGGGATCTCTAATAGAAGGAAGAGAGGCAAAGGTAAATTTGTGGAAGTCACCAAACTTGGAAGTGCTAAGCTCTAAAATATTTTAACCTCTTCTACCTGTACCTTTTCCTTGAGTTCCCCCTCTCACCAGCCTTTACATGTTGCCATAGTATTGAACAAATTAATGCTAATTGGCTTTAGGTGGAATGAAAGTTTAGAAACTAGAGGTTCTGGCATATTTGATAATATTTCTCCTTCCTGGAGAGTAGTATAACCAATGAGGATATAGCTAAAAGTGAAATAACTTACATATCTCTTCCCTAAAGTAGGAGCAACTTTCCCAACAACCTTAAGAGGATCTTTTCACTATAAAACTCACCTTACAAGCCAGGCTGGTGGTACATGCCTATAATCCCAGTGACTCAGGAGGCTAAAGCAGGAGGATCAGGAGTTCAAAGCCAGCCTCAGCAACAGCAAGGTGCTAAGCAATTCAGTGAAACCCTATCTATAAATAAAATATAAAATAGGGCTAGGGATGTGACTCAGTGGTCAAGTGCTACTGAGTTCAATCCCTGGTACCCCCCTCAAAAAAAAAAAAAAAAAAAAAAACCTCATGTTACAAAGCTAAAAATGTCATGTGACAAGTCTTAACTGGAATCACAATCCCAAAGTAAGGAATAGAAGTTTTTGGTACAGGTTTTGTAGAATGGGTTTTAATGAGTACGTAGGTTAAGAAGACTCTGTGGAAAGGGAAAAATGTGAAAAGGAGAAAAACATACTCAAAGACAAAGGAAGTGTTTGGATGTATTTCCTCATGCAAAGAACATTCATGTAGAGTACATGAGAGTGAGCTTCAATTTCTGTCATAATTCCATCATTTGTTGCCCTAGTACGGCTAGGAGGATGCATGACTAAAATTAAGTGCTATAGAGACCAATTATAATTTTTCCAAGGATGATATACTTCAAAAGATAACAGGATAATTATTTTAAGCAGCTAATAGAGACCCCATCTTCTTTTCTTCATTTTATTTCACTGAAATGATCAGATTCCCTCTATGCTGTATCCTCCTAAATGGGAGAAAGGGCCAAGAACTTCTAAACTCAGATAATAGAACAGTGGGTTGAAACAAAGAGTGTTTGATAGATTAGCATGGCTTTTGGTCTCCTGAAATGACCTAGGCTGTGTGTCCCAGGTAAGAGATCTTTCCAAGGACGATGCCCTGGGTAATGGGAGGTAGAAATGAATCCCTAAGAGGATGAAGGAGCAAGAAGCTTTATCTTTCCTTCCATCCTTTTGTTTCTTCCTTCTTCCTCTCAGTCTTTTTCCCACCTCATCCTCTGACCCTCCTACCTGTATTTGCAGTTTTCAGCATTGTTGGGCAAGTTCTGCTGCACTGCTACCCAGCCATTTAAGCTGAAGATCCCCAGTTGCCTTCACCTCCACATGGCAAACAATAGTGAGACTGTGTCCCTGGCCCATTACACCATGCATTTGGGGCATTGTGCAGTGTTACATTTGCAGCCATCTGTGCCATGTGTTGCTTGGCCAGTGAATCACATTCAGGACCGTCTGGAAGATATGAGGACACTATTAGATTTTAATACATGTCCCTGGATTCTGATTTCTGGGCTTATAGCTTCTTTTGAAGTTAGTAAGAACTATGTGTAGAAAGGGAAGTGCAAGATAAGAATGTTATATATTTTTCTTCCATTTTTTTTCTAGTAATCCTTTAAGAAAATCCAACCTGACTGTTCCTAATAAATTCAGTACCAAAGGAAGAAAAGGTAGCAATTAGAAGTGATAATAAAGCTGTTATTTATAGCAACTAAAAAACCTTGTCATAGTACATGGAACGATCGCTTCTCATTCGTCAGTCAAGAGAGATGAAAAATTTAAAACGTATCACTGTTAGACCCTTTCTGTGTTTGAGTGACAATAAAGCATAGTTGAATAGGATGCTGAGTACTTTCAAACAAATATTTATCTTGATATTCTTAAATATTTTACATAATCCCAGTCCTATTCATTATTTCTCTACAATGATAATTAAATTATCTATTTGTAGTTGGTGTGTGTTCTCCTCTGAGTTCTTTTTTTTTTTTTTTTTTTTTTGAGATTTCTTAAAGGTCAAATAATAAAAATCTGAAAAAAAAATTTAAATTTGTTCTTTTTAGTTATATATGAAACTTGAAAAAAATTGCATGAAAAGTCAAGATGAGAATTCTGAGTAGCCTAGAAAATAACAGGAGAGTAATAGAAGTAGCTTTGTGGCATTTGACAGGCACATCAAGGCACAAAAAATGAAGTCTAATTAAATTTCTTTAATTATAACAAGATGTTCACATTATCAGCACCTTAAACCATGGCCTCTAAGTTCTTTCCTCACAGCAGCCTAAGAGATAAGACATGAATTGGTAGTTGGCTCAAGACTTTAACTGGATGTCATATAGATAGTACTCTGTGAACTTTTCTAGAAAGTTTCAAGGGAGGTGTACACACCATTAAGAGGTGGGACACAAAGAACTGCAAATGATAGTTATTCTCCTTTTGTCTTGAGAATAAAACTGTGAGGTAGACTTAATATCATTTTTCCCACTTTTGTGAGCTAATGGAATTAACATAGGAATTCCCAATATGCTTGTCTATACTGAAGTTTAAAAGCTAAAATGAAGGTAGTACCATACAGAAAGAGGAAGGAGCCAGGCTTTGAAGTTAGGCTGAGTTTGAAACTGACTTCTGTCACTTATTAGTTATATGAACTAGTTGTAATTAAGACAAGTCATTTTCACTTTGAGCCTTACCTGTAAAAGTGGAAGAGATAATACCTATCTTCCAGTAGTTTGTAAGACAGATCTTAAATAAGACAAACTGTGTGGGATATTAAATAAGACAAACAAACATAAACATGTCTGAAAAATATATAAGATTTTTTTCCTGATATTATTCTTCTTCCTGTTCCATGCCTCTGTACATGTTACTGTGAAGGCTTTCTTCAGCCATGAATATTGAGGTGAAGTCAAGAAACATTTATCAAGGACTTACTAAGAACTTCCAAGTCTTGTGGGAGAGAGAAAAGAATTTGAAGACCTTTCCCTTCAAGGAGTCTGTAATCTCTCTGAGCAGAGAAAAACTGCATGTAAAATATTCATGGCTGCTATATGTTATACGAACTTAGAGAAGGGAGAGATCTTTTCAGATTGGAATAATCAGGATACGTTTCATGAAAGATGGAAATATAGTCTGCATAGATGTATATAATATGTTATATAATGTTACTTTTATTCTAAATAAAAATGCTTTTCAGACTACATTAAAAAATGGACTTGTTATTTTAAATTCAACTAATTTAAAATCCATTAAGTAATAATAAAAATAATTTGAATTCTCAGTCCCCTCTATATAATACCCTCTATCTTAGTGTAAAAGGAAGATATTTTTATTCTTAACAAAGATATATAGCTATTCTAAACAATCTAAAACAACACAGTATCCAGCCTATATAAGCCTCAGAAAAGGGTGTTCTTTGTCCCAGAGTGTAATGGTTCCACATAAAACTATCAAACAGCCCAGCATATAGATATCTAGAGTGACCAGAACAAAACAAAAATTGTCTATATGCATAATAGCCAAACCTGTAGACTAGAGAGATTTTAATTCTAAAGAACTAGGAACTATTAACTATGTGCACCTTTTAAATCAATTGGAAAAAGAATTTGTCTTTATTAAATATTCTTAAACTATAAAAATATATATGTTTATGTATATGTATGTACATGTTTATGTTTTTTTTGGAAGGGGTGTTTGTACTCAGGCCCCATGTTATTGTATCATCATGGAATACTGTGCCCACGGACAACTTTATGAAGTCTTGAGAGCTGGCAGGAAGATCACACCTCGATTACTAGTAGACTGGTCCACAGGAATTGCAAGTGGAATGAATTATTTGCACCTCCATAAAATTATTCATCGTGATCTCAAATCACCTAAGTGAGTTTTGGAGCTTATTTTTCACGTATTTTGCTTTGTTGTTTTGAAATAAGGAATTTTTATCAACTATAATTGAAGTTTTCAGACATCATTCTTTGAGTTCAGATTAAAGTCAGCACAGCGGGTAATTCTATTTGCCTATCTTTTGGAATATTTGTTGAGCTCCTTACATGTGGCAGATATGTTCAGGTACCTGACACCATTTTCCCCTTTTTGTTGTCGCTTTTAAATCATATAATTGTACAAAATTCATTATTATCTGAACTATTCAACTTCTATCATCTCTGATAATTAATACCAAACTTCCCTACCAGAAAGCTTGGTTTGTTGTATTCCTACTGGTTTGTTGATTGCAGTACCGGGGACTGAACTCAGGGGTGTTCTATGAATTATTTACACCTCCATAAAATTATTCATCGTGGTCTCAAATTATTCATCGTGATTTTATAGTCTTAGTGTATACAATAGAGTAAAAATGGGTGATAAGAAACAGAGGCAAAAAATAACATAAAAACATTAGTACCAAAACTTGTTCACAAAATATATACCATAAACTTATAGGTGTGTTAATGGCACACATCTACAAATTCAGCTACTCTGGAGGCTGAGGCAAGAGGATTGCAAGTTTGAGGCCAGCCTGAGCAACTTAGCATGATCTCATCTCAAAATAAAAGATGGTTTGGGATGTAGCTCAGTGGTAAAGCACCCACTACTAAAAAAAGAAAGAAAAAAGTATCTTATAAGATTCTGTACAGGTGTTTTTGAGAACTATAAATTTGGCATTGAGCTTCTGAGAGTCTAAACAAAGGAGAAAATAAACAGGTACAAGTTACAAAGTGGCCATAAGAAACATAGTTATTTAAGAGAAGCAGAGCTATTTCTGTTAATCTCTGATTTCCAAATGATTCCTTGGTAGCCAATAATCACTTAAGTGTGTATTCAACTCCCCAAATTTCATGAAGGAAAGAAATGAATTGGTAAAATGGCATATGTCCATGTAGCTCTATTTTTTAAACATTATTTTTTTATTATTTCTCATCCCATTTTGGTTTACAGAAGCAGAAAGACTGTTTTTTTCCAAAAACATTTGCATAGTGCTTTATTGGTTTACAACATGTTTTATAGCCATTATCACATCTTTAATTGTATCAAAAACTGTGGATGTTAGAAGTGATAATATCAATTATTTTTGTTTATGTAAGAGAAAGTGGGCCTCAGCCCAAAGGGACTAGGACTTGAACCTAGAACTTTTGAGCCAGGCTAAAGCATCCTACCTCATTATGTGAAGATAAGGGATTCATAATGAATCCTGCCTCTTCTCCTCTAGGGAAGATAAAATCAGTCCTTGGTTAAAAAGTTAATGCAACTCTTATTTATCATCATCATTCTCAACAATATTTATTACAATGGTTAGCTCATTGAACAAACTCCTTCCTGTACTTGCAAATAAACATTACTATATAGCTTTCATTCCTTCTGTTCATATTCTTAACACAATCTGTTGCCTTTCTCATCCCCTGCATACACATAAAATATGTAAAATACTTACTAAAGGCATCTTCAAATGATCTCTTGAAACCAACATGTTCTCCTTGAGAATTAAAGGTTAGAATAGTAAGTTGGTCATCCAGTGTTAACAATGCCACCCTTAACCCTAGAGGCTAAGGTTTTTGGGTTTCAATCGAACTTCAAGAAGACAAAGATCAGGGCTGGGGTTGTGGCTCAGTGGTAGAGTGCTCACCTAGTATGCATGAGGCACTGGGTTTGATCCTCAGCACCACATAAATATAAAATAAAGATATTATATCAACCTAAAACTAAATATATATGTATATATATGCATATGTATATGATATACATATATATATATGAAGACAAAGATCAACCTGACACGTTGTAAGGAAAAATTTCACTGCCAACATTAAATCTGCAGTCTGTGTGTCCCCAACATTGTCTCAGAAGATTTCAGAAAAGTCAGTGTTATATCATCTCTAATCTCCTCCCTTTTCTCATACCAACTGAGGCAGAAGAGGAAGTTCCTACAGTTTTTCTGTTCCTAGAGGCCTATCATGTTTTTTTTTTAATTTCATGGCATATGACACTATCAGTGCTCCAATTATGTCAGATAGCCCATGAATTTACACTAAGACTATAAAATCAAAGCTCCTAAATTATGTAAATTTTACATATCCGGTGCAAAACCAGGGGAAGGATGTGGATGGAGGTATTCCAGAGCAACTGTAAGCACAAAGCGGTTGAGTAAGTAGCAAGTCATTTGGCGTTGGGGGTGGAGGTGAGCAAGTGTGAAGTCCTTGGTTCAAATGACAAGGGCAGGAACAAATTCAGAAGTTTTCTGTTTTCTATTTTCCTTGAGTCTGATGCTATTTGAGTATTAAGCTTCTCATCTTTAAAAATAGGTACCTAGGGCTGGGGCTGTAGCCTAGTGGCAGAGGACTTGCCTGGCACATATGAGGCACTGGGTTTGATCCTTAGCACCACATAAAAATAAACAAATAAAATAAAGGCATGCTGTCCATCTACAACTATGAAAAAAAAATTAATAGGTCCCTATATCATTAAGGCTCTGGCACCCTAACTCATTAACATTCGGAAGTTGTGAACAGGTTTTTTGGAGTGAACTCAGAGTAGTGTATGAGGCTGCCCATACTTTGGATTTATATTCACCTTTAAGGCAAGCAAAAGCATCTGCTCCATGACACATTTCAGAAAAGTCCTATGAAAAGTAAAACATGACTTCTGTGGAAGCTACTTAAGCTTAGATTTATTCCTGCTTTTTCTTTTCAGCAATAGTGAACTGCCAGCATTCACATGTGTCTTTTAATGTAATGGATTTAGTGTCATGGTCCACTGCATAACATAACTGGCCATTATTTAAATAATGTTTTTAAATGAGGTGTTTTCCTTAATGGGTTGGCCAAGACTGGCAAGGGAGTAAACCAAAACTATTGAGCACTGGTGTTTTATGTATCTAAGCTCATTTAATTCAAGTGAAAATTCTATGGGACCATTATTACAGGCACATAATATCTTATCCATGACTTGTGCAGCCAGATTATTTCAAAAAGGTAATATAGTGCTAACCTCAGACATTCAAGGAAGTCTAGAGGAACTCTCTCTAATCAGCCACATTAACATACCTGTGACAAAATCTATGAAATTCACACAAAATGAGATATAATGATTTTGCCTTATACATATGAAAAGTATTTTTGAGACCTTTTACATTTCTGAATTGTGAATAAGATATTGTGACCTGAATTGTCTCCATTTTATAGATTAGAAAAGTGGTTTAGAAGAGTTAAGTAACTTGGCAAAGTTACACAGTTTGCAAATGGTGGAGGCAGGATAAAACTAGGCATTATGAGGATAGCAGAATGAATTGGACACTAATACCCTATGTACATATATGACTACCCAGCCAGTGTGATCCTACATCATTACAACCAGAAGAATGAGAAGTTATACTCTGTTTATGTAGGATGCACTCTACTGTCATGTATAACTAATTAGAACAAATAAACAATTGCATTTGAACTATTTTTTTAAATAGGCATTAAAAGCCTATTTTGATAAGCTGCTTCATTTTGCTATTTCCAGTGCATAGCTAATGCCTTGGTCACATTGGAAACTGCAAGTTGAACTCCACAGGAAGCAGCAAACAAAATCTTTAATTGCCATTTAGAGTCATGGTTTTCATTACTACTAATGATCTGGATGTTTTCTTTATTTCTTTTTAAAGTGTTTTAGTGACTCACACAGATGCAGTAAAAATTTCAGATTTTGGTACATCTAAGGAACTCAGTGATAAAAGTACCAAGATGTCTTTTGCTGGCACGGTTGCATGGATGGCACCAGAAGTAATACGGAATGAACCTGTCTCTGAAAAAGTCGATATATGGTGAGTGATGCCATCTATGCCAAATAGATTCACCCTATTAACCCTTTCTTCATGCAGTAGTTTTACTATCCAGAATATTCATTACTGTTGTTCACTTCTGGTTGATTTTGGTCTTATTTACCTAAGGTAGTACCCAGTATTATGCTATATGGTGGGAAGGATCAGAAGAGGAATTAGGGTAAATATCCAGTTAGTAAATCATCAGTTCCCTAAGAAAATATGCTGACCTTTCTGGAAAACTAAAAGTCTATTTCAAATGACCATTTAGTATAGTCTTCCTGAAATGTACTGCATAATTCTCACCCTTTTGAGTAAAATACATTAAACAAAACTTACGTTTGCTAAGCCAGGCATAGAGGCATATAAGACCCTGTCTCAAAACAGAAAAAAGAATTGGAGATGTAGTAGTGGAACACCCCTGGATTTAATTCCCAGTACCTGAAGAAAGAAAAGAAAAACCTATTTTTGATGATTCACATCATCATTACACATATTTGTAATGTACTCTGTTATGATACATTTTGTGCTCTAGACCTATTTGAAGTGTATAAGTCTATTTGCCTTTTTATTGAATAACTCCTATGAACTATGCTTTTATTTATTTATTTTTAATTTATTTTTCAGTTGTAGTTGGACACAATACCTTTATTTTATTTATTTTTATGTGGTGCTGAGGATCAAACCCAGGGCCTCGCACCTGCTAGGTGAGCAGTCTACCACTGAGCCACAACCCCAGTTATATGCTTTTATTTTTTATCTTTATCAACATTTCCTCTGAGGTCATAAGCCTTCGTTTTAGCAATATTTTCCCTGTAATTGCTTTTTTCCCCCCACCCTTAAAATTGGCTACTGGAAACTTTTAGGCTTTAAGAAAATAATAGCATATGTTAAAATTGCATATAGCATCTGTGTAAGTGGGATAAGATAGAGTATTCATAGTTTTGATAGTTAACAAAGTGTCCTCCTTAGGGATTATACCAATTCGGTTCTAATCAGAAATGTGTTAAGAGTGTTTTCTCAACAAAATATGCTACACTTTTGTATTTTTAACTATTATGTAGATCAAAAATGGCATCTTGGAAGCAGTTTTCATTTGCATCCCTGCTATTATGAGTAAGGTTATACATTTTTGTATGCTTAAGAGTCATTCATCATTTCTTATTTGTGAACTATTCACATCCTTTTTTTCAGATTTCTGATCTTTTTTCTTATCAATTTATGAGGTGTTGTTTTTTGTTTTTTGTTTTTGTTTTTGTTTTTTTGGTCCTGGGGATTGAACTCAGAGGCACTCAGCCACTGAGCCACATCCCCAGCCCTATTTTTTGTATTTTATTTAGAGACAGGGTCTCACTGAGTTGCCTAGAGCCTCACTTTTGCTGAAGCTGTCTTTGAACTCACAATCCTCCTGCCTCAGTCTCCCAAGGCGCTGGGACAATTTATGAGCATTTTATATGTCAAAGAAATTTGCCTTTTGTATAGATGAATTGCAGATATTTTTTACATTTTGTTATTTTGCTTATAGCATTTTTTCTCAGGCCAAAATAGTTTTAATATAGCTCAATTTATCAACCTCTCCTTTTATCTTCTAGGTTTCCTAGTTAGAAAAGCCTTCATCACTCTTAAGATTATAAAAAAATTCCCAATGTTTTCTTTTATTTTCCTTTTTTTTTTTTTTGCATTTAATTCTTTGATTCATTTAGAATTTATCTGTTTGTGTTTTGTTTGTTTGTTTGTTTGTTTGTTTTGGGGTGTGTGTGTGTGTGTGTGTGTGTGTGTACAGGGGATTGAACCCAGAGGCACTTAACCACTGAGCCATATTCCCAGCCCTTTTTTTGTATTTTATTTAGAGACAGGGTCTCTCTGAGTTGCTTAGGCTGGCTTTAAACTAGTGATCCTCCTGCCTCAGCCTCCTGAGCTGCTGGGATTACAGGCATACACCACTATATGGTGAGGGATAGATTTAATTTTTTCCCCAGTTTTCCCAATAGCAATTATTAACTAATCAAATTTTCCCGCTAGTTTGTGATGCCACTTCTACTATATTTCAGTTCTTGAATGTATTTATTAATTTCTAGATTTTAATTCCAGTCCATTAGTCTGTTTGTCTATTCATGCACCAGAGTTAATTATTGAGACTTTATAATGTCTTAATATCTGGAAGTGTGGGTTACCCTTCATTGATTTTTTTCAAAAGTTTCATGAATTTTTCTGTTTTTTAATAACAATATATTCTAATTTTAAAACTGGATATATATATATATATATATATATATATATATATTAACTTGACCAAAAATTAATTAAAAATTAAAATATAAATCAGTCTTTCTGAAATGTCTTCTATACATGTTCCTGGTACTACTGTAGGTCTTTTGGAGTAGTGCTTTGGGAGCTGCTGACAGGAGAGATCCCCTACAAAGATGTAGATTCATCAGCCATTATTTGGGGTGTTGGAAGCAATAGCCTACACCTTCCAGTTCCTTCTACTTGCCCTGATGGATTCAAAATCCTTATGAAACAGACTTGGTAAGAAATACATTTCTCTTCCAACATTCTCTTTTACTTTTTTCTTCAAAGGCATAATACAACTTCTCTAAAACAAGTAGGTAAGTCTCTAACGTGTGTTTGCAGTCAACCATCTGGTGGTGGAAAGATTAGAGCCTTAGAGTCTGAAACCCTTGATTTCAAAAGCTGGCCCTGCCTTTTTCTGTCTTTTTTCTTTGGGGCGTGTCATCCAACTATCTGTCTTCATGTAGAGAGAGCGCTTGCTCATGGCGTTGTGTTGTGATGAATTAAAATTTATAAGTGAAGAAATTGGTATGATATCTTGAAATAGTAGGACTTAGTTAATGATAGCTATTATTATTTTACCAGACCTAGTGGACTATTATCAAATAGCTCACTGCTCCTAGATTTCCATTTCATCAATAGAGGTATCTCTAAATTGTATTTTTTTGTTTGCCCTTCAGTACATCAAAACTATTTGTGATATAGCTATTTTGGAGTTAAAATAGTGTATTTCATACTTTATATATATTTTTTATAGTATATACATATACATATTTTATAGTAGAATAAATTTTTATCTTCCTGGACACAAATTCTGAAATGTACAAGCTGTCTTTTTTACTTTTAGGCAAAGTAAACCTCGCAACAGACCTTCTTTTCGGCAGACACTCATGCATTTAGATATTGCATCTGCAGATGTACTTGCCACCCCACAGGAAACTTACTTCAAGTCTCAGGTAAGCTCAGAAACCTTCTAACAGATGCTACTGGCCAGACAGGGAACTCTTTAGGAGAAAGGGTAACTCTTAGAAGGAGGCCATTTTCATTCTTATAACAATTAAATAATCCTATTCATTGTTAAATAATAATGATATGTATTAAATAATAATGATATGAAGATACATATGGCATTCGGGAGTTTGTTAAGCACTTGATGTACATTATCTCATTTGAAAAGAACATGTATTTGAATGTTGTCCTTATAGTGGGTTCTGGTAAAATTGTTGAAGAAAAAAGAAGAAAAGAGGATGCTAAACCTATAATATACCTCCATTTGAATTGGAATTTTTGGCTGATCTTCATGAAAGCATTGCTTTCCTTGAAGCAGAAAAGTTGAAATACAGAGGAAAGAGATTGAATACCAGAAAGATCCGATGAGGAAATTAAGCCCAGAGAAAACCTTTACTCTAATTCTGTGTGTTACCTAGTAATAGCTTCAAATAAAATATAATTTAATGTATCTGTTTGCCTTCACTGTACTAAAACCTTCCCAAAACTCATGGTTTAAAACAGTAAGCCTTTATTTAGATTTCCTGTGGGATGGTGATTTGTGCTATGCAGTTCTTCTGCTGCCTCTGACTCGGTACGCTCACTGTCTGCAGTCAGTTACCAGGTCAGCCAGGAGGCTGGCTGGCTCTAGACAGACTTATTCACAAGTCTGGGGATACTCTGGCTGTTAACGTGGAGTACCTCCGTTCTCCTCTGTGTGGCCTCTAATCCTTTAGCAGGCTAGTATGGGCTTGTTTTTGCAGTTTCTAAGGAATAATAAATCAGAGACTTATCCTATTAGTCAAAGTTCTAACACATTCTCACATCCTTGAACCTAACTTTCCCCATAGCTGTGTCTATAAATAGACTTGCCCCTATATTTTTTAGTGTTTCTGAGAAATTATTATGTAAGTAAAGTGTTTATTTACACAGAAAATAAGATGATTAAGAGGTTGACTTCATGACAGTTCATGTATTCTTTGATATGTAGTCAGAGAAATTCCCTGAGAACTATTAAAACCCATCCATTCAAATACATGTAGGTATGAGGCACTGGATAAGAAACCTTTCAAATGTCTTCTGCTAGTATTCTGAAAAGACAGTCCTTTTGTGAAATGAAAGAGAATGATAGTGAATACTCCAGGAAATCATTCAAACCTTAGCATATGGTTGCAATCAGAGCTTTGCTTCTTTTACAATAAAACTACATATCCCAATTATAAAAATATTTTAAAGTACTCTTAACTGACAAGCCATTGAGACAGTCAGTTCTATTGTATATATTTGGAAAATTTCAAATTCTAAACAGATTTTTACTGAAGTTCTCTGTAAAATAAATTTTACTGGCGTTCTCCCACTGTGAAGCTAGTTCAACTTGAGCAACTAAATATCAAGAGTCAGTATCCTTAAAGGGCCAGCCTATTTTATTATTGAGATACCCAAAGCATGGAGTATCTACACTGAGCTCAGGAAAATTTCTTTGGGGAGAAAATTGAAGAGAAAATGTAGTACATTGGGCATCTGCCTTAGTTTGGGCTGCTACAACAAAATACCATAGATTGGATGGTTTATAAACAACAGAAATTTTTTCCCCATAGTTCTGAGTCTGGGAAGTCCAAGATCAAGTTCAAACCACCAGCAGATTTGGGGTCTGGTAAGGGCCCAAGTTCTGGTTCATTGATGATGCCCTCTCACTGTGTCCTCACATGGCAAAGGGTCAACAAACTCCCTTGTGCCTGCTTTCTGAGGATACTTATTCCATTAAAAATAGGTAAGTTCTCATGACCTAAGCACCTCCCCAAAGGACTCCACCTTCTAATACCTTTACTTTGGGAGTTAAGATTTCAACATATGAATTTGGAGTGGGGGAAGTACAAATATTCAGACCATAACAGCCCTTTTTTGTTGTTATCACTTTGTTTGTTTGTTTGTTTTGTTTTGTTTGGTACTAGGGATTGAACTCAAGGCCACTCAACCACTGAGCCACATCCCCAGCCCTATTTTTTTGTATTTTATTTAGAGACAGGGTCTCACTGAGTTGCTTAGTGCCTCGCCATTGCTGAGGCTGGCTTTGAACCCCCCAGTCCTCCTATCTCAGCCTCCCAAGCTGCTGTGATCACAGGCATGCACCACCTTTTCTGGCCATAACAGCACTTTTAATATTTATTAATCCATTCACATTTTTCTTCCAATGTAAAATTTCACTTCTCCTTCAACAACCCCAAATCTGCTATTCTTGCTAGTTTCAAGATTTTTTTCAGGTATTTATAAGCTGATCTGACTCTAGGTCTGAAACTGAGACTATCTCTGACTAATGTTAGTAAAATATTTATGAACTGTCTAGTGAGTCACTATATACTACGTGACCTTGAATAAGTCACTAAGTTTTCTAACCCTCAGCTTACCCATCCAAACAAGGAAGATAATTGTATCTTCTTTTAGGGAGTTTCTGTGACAATCAAATGAAAAGATTAAAATGCAGGTACAGCAAAAACTATTAAGAACTGTGTGATTATAAAATGTTATTCACCTCCCACAAAGCTATACAAATAAAGCGTCCTTTGAGTTGTTACCTTCTGGATGCTTTTTAAGATGAACTCCTGAGATGAATAAGAAGGTAGCTAAAAAAAACTCCTAGTAATTGTGTTTTGACTTCATCATGCCCCAATAGGGAAGATCTGATTGTTTCACGTACACGGAGTTTTGCTCTTGCCAGAGCAGTATTATACCTGAGGCCTTGCCCCCTTTCACCTGCTGACAAGATGTTCTCAGTGTCATTTTCAATCAGTGGCTGTTAGCTCCTGAACTCCACCTTCCACCAAACTGGTCAGTCAGGAGTGCTGCCAAGTGTCCAGCTGACCCCTTCCTGAGAAAAAGGGCTTCAGCAGCAGCACATGTGTAAAGATGCTTATAGAACAGATGACAAAGCAACGGATTTCAGCACAATATTAGATTCTGCCAAGGCTGTTACTCACTCCCAGACAATCACCCATTTCTTCAAAGAGGCAATTATTGCTCCTGGTATTCAGCTGTATTTCATATTGGCCTTTAGAAAACAGCTGCTAGTTGGGTCCTATGCTCAGTTTCTAAATTCTTGCACCATCCTCTGCTTTTGCACCATTCTTGCTTCCTCTTGAAAGCCACTATTGTTAGTTTTTCATTGCTATGACCAAAATACCTGACTTAAACAACTTAATCCATGGTTAGCCAACTCCATAGCTCTGGGCCTGAGGCAAGGCAGAAGAGCATGGAAGAAGGATATGGCAGAGGACAGCTGCTCAGCTCCTGGCAGCCAGGAAGCAGAGAGAGGATTGCCAGAGAGAAGACAAATCCTTCTCGGGCACACCCTCCGTGACCTTCCTCCAATGAGGTTCCACCTCCCAGTAGTCCATTCAGCCAGAAGGGGAGAGTCCCGTGATCTAATCACTAACCACAAGCTCCACCTCTGAACACAGGAGACTTTGGGGACATTCCAGATCCCATCATACCACACTGTAACCACCCAGAGAGTGGTTAAAGAGATAACTGCATTTGTCCTGGGGCTAGCCTGTGCTGCCTTACAAGTATGCTTCTCACGAGTGATTAGGTGCCAAAGCTAGGTCCTCACACTGGGGAGGCAGTAAAGAGGAACTGAGTACCAGTTAAGAACTGGACTGGATGCTCTCTAAGGTTTTTCTGATTCAGAATCTATGATTCCTACTCCTAAGCCCCCAGCATCTTGCTTCTCTATTCCTTGAACTAACCTGTAACTGGCTCGACATTTTTTTCCTTTATAAAAATTATGTAAAATAAATATAGTATAAAGTTTATCATCTTACTAGGTTAAGTGTCTAATTCAATGGCTTTCATCATTACATTCACAATGTTGTAAGTGGTCACTACTATTTCCAAAAATTTTCATCAACCCTAATTAAGCAATAACCCCCTTTCCCTCCTCTGATCTCTGATAATCTCTATTCTATTTTCAGTCTCTATGAATTTGCCTATTCTAGATATTTCACTTAACTGGAATCATAAAATGTTTGTCCTTAGTTTAGGGCTTGTTTCACTTACTTAGCATGTTTTCAAGGTTCATATATATTGTAGCATTTGTCAGAACTTCATTATTTTTTGTAGTTGAATAGTATTCTGTTGTATAATACCACATTCTATCCATTCATCTGTTGATTCAACTTCATTTTGATATCTATATTATGGGACATAAATAGAATCAATTTTTTTGATACAAAAGCTTCATACATCTACTGAGTAACTATAGAAACCTTCTAAATGGCACAGATTTCCCTAGGCCTTCTCTGGGAGGTAAAGGGGATATCATTAATGGAGTGATCCAGGTTTCACTTGATTGTTCCCTTACTTGCTTACACGGGTCTTGTGAAGCACCCTCCTTCTTCCACACCTACACACTACACTATGCATTTTCAGGGAATTCCCAGGGAGGAGGAGAGATCTCAAATAGTCTCATCTTGTCATCTGCTGTCCTTTCTCCTGACTCTGAATAAACACAGCCCTCTCCCTTCTGGCACAGCTGGGCATTTCCATATTGGTGAGCCCTCACTGTTTTCTGCTATAAGATTGTATTCCTAGTTGCCATCCATTAGATGCTGCCATATCCTTAAGGGACTGCCCTCCCACTCTGGGAGCTGCTCTCTGCTGCAGCAGAGCTCTACAGTTCCCAGGATTCCAAAGCTGCATGTTGTTCTGTTTGTGTGATGAGCTCTTCCTTTCCCTGTTGATTTACACTGTGTGAAAGGTGGCCATGGCCTGATGTTTTACAAGTATGTTAGTGAAACTATGGGAAATGTCCCATCCATTCCTGTGACAGTGGCTCTGTTATAGGCCAAGCTCCTGCACACTCTTCCCTCTCTCAGTAGCTCCTCCGTCTCTGTGCAAATTGGGTACTGGCCTGCCTGCCCTGCATTTCTTCAGATAAGCCAGGTAGTTCTTAATGGCAGATTAAGTCAAATCACAACTCCTATTAACATATTCTAAGTACATGTGATGAAACTCCAAATTATCTTCTTCTAGGAATATGATACCTTTGAGGAAAACACACTTTTGGTCAGTTTCTGTTGTTTTCCCATGACCTTGTTTCCTTTTCCCAGGAAGGAATTTACTTGTAGAAACCTAGTTTCTTACAGATTTAAAGCTTCAGAAGGTTATCTTTTAAGTTTCCTATAATGAAAAGCAAGCTTCCGGAGGTTTACTGCCTCTAGAATTAAAACCTGACCTGTAATATCTGATTCCTTACCACCAGAGGGAGATATTCCTTTTCTTGGTACCTTCTTTAAGTATTGCCCTGGAATCCATTAACATGTTTTTGCACAAGAGAGGATGTTTTCAGGCCTAAATCTGACCCTCTCCTTTATCCTTCTTTGTTCTAAAATCTTTTGTTTATCATTCTTTGACCTCTTAAAGTTGAAATACAATTCCTACTCCATGGCTTTGATCTGATGATTCAGAGAGAAGCATTACTGGGGGCTTAACTTAACCTTCATATACTGTTGAAATGCTGTCAAAGACTCCTGCCCAACAATGGGATACTATATTCTTTATCCTGGCATTTTGAAGACATTGAGCAGGTTTGGTGCCTGCTCAGTGAAAGTCAACCAGCTGGGAGAAAACCCTCTCCAATAGTCAACATATAAAAAGAACCTAGTATATTGTAAATAAGCAAGCAGGATGATCATTTTCTAAATGATTATATTATTTTCTACATAAAAAATTGATGTAAAACAGATAATTTGGGGAAATTATATAATGTCTCCTTGTTTTCTCCCTCAGTTCCCAATTTCTATATAATTTCCCATATGTTTATTCCCATCTTCTGCTGTGTATGCTCTGGGATCTTCTACTGCACATATTTTTTCAAGATATTTTCCTAAACAAAGCACAGAAGGAATTCTGGTGCCAGTTTTAAGGGTGATCATTTTCTCACAGACACATACATGTACCCAAGTGGTTATCAGAGCTGTTCTTTCTGGCCATATTCTCGGCCACTGTATTGACTTAAATTGAGTTCTTTCATTCCAGAGGTGATGGCCAGTGTGCCAGCTATATTGTTGTTTCTGGTGACCATTGCTGCTGGGAAACTGGGAAAGACATAACATCATATTCTAGAGTAGATATACAGAACATGGGGAGGGGCATGCAGATTCAATAGCATGAGATATTTTGCTATCAATCAACTAATATTTCTTGAACACCCATTTTGAATTAGGCACGTGCAGGAAGCACATAGAAAAAAGCATGTAGAAGCATTCAGGCAAAATACCTTGTGCCTGATCCTATGATTATACCAGAGATTAAAACACCTTGAGTACTAACAAAATCAAGTTTTTCTCACCCAGGCTGAATGGAGAGAAGAAGTTAAAAAACACTTTGAGAAGATCAAAAGTGAAGGAACTTGTATACACCGATTAGATGAAGAACTGATTCGGAGGCGCAGAGAAGAACTCAGGTCAGCTGATCTCTCTTCCTCTACTTCTTCCTACCTCAGATCTTCAGATATGAGGAATGCTTCTTATGAATCACCATTTCATTTTCTACACACCTTTCACCTCTGCTTGTTATTATTATGCTCCTTAAAAGTTCCCCTAATAGTTAGTTCTCCTGTGGAATCTAAAAGAGTCAATCTTCTAGAAGTTAAGTATAGAATTATGGTTACCAGAGTCTGAGGAGACTGAAGGGGAGGACAGATGAAAAAAAGTTCTTCAAGGGATACTGTTATAGTTAGATAAGAGAAAGAAGAAGTTGCACAGTAGGGTGACTATAACAAGATTGTACTGTATATATATTCTTAAATTTAAAAAAAAAAAGCTAGAATACAAGATTTTGAATATTTTTACCATAAAGAAATTATAATTGCCAAGCATAGTGGTGCTTGCCTGTAATCCCAGGAGGTTGAAGCAGGAGGATTTTACATTTGAGGCCAGCCTTGGCAACAGGAATAGACCCTATATCAAACATCAGACAGAAAGGACTGGGGATGTACAGTGGTAGAGCACTTGACTAGCATGCATGAGAATCTGGTACATTCCAGTACCCCTCATACACACACAGGAAAGAAATGGTAATTGTTTCAGGAGATACATGTTTACCCTGATTTGAACATTATACAATGTATCAGGACATCATAAAATACCTGTAAATATGTACAATTTTTTATCAGTTATTTTTTTTTAGAATGTGTCATAGGCCAGTTTTGAAATGCTAAGTGTTTTTTTTTAACTTTTTTGTATTTGTTCTTTTTAATTATACATGACAGCAAAATGTATTTTGATATAGCATACTTCCATTCTTGTGGTTGTGCATGATGTGGAGTTACACTGGTCATGTATTCATATATAAACATAGGAAAGTTATGTCCAATTCATTCTACTATCTTTCCCATTCTCATCCCCATGCTCTTCCCCCTACTCTTCCCTTTCCAATCCAGTGAACCCCCATTCCTCCCTCCTGACCTCCTATTGTGAGTCAGCATCATCAAAGAGAATGTTTGGCCTTTGATTTTTTGGATTGGCTTATTTTACTTAGCATGATAGTCTCTAGTTTTATCCATTTACCAGCAAATGCCATAATTTCATTCTTCTTTATGGCTGAGTAATATTCAGTTGTGTACATGTACTATGTTTTCTTTACCATTCATCTATTAAAGGGCACCTAGGTTGGTTCCATAGCTTAGCAATTGTTAATTGAGCTGCTATGAACATTGATGTGGCTGTGTCACTATAGTATGTTGATTTTAAGTCCCTTGGATACATGCCAAGGAGTGGGATAACTGAGTCAAATGCTGGTTCCATTATTCCAAGTTTTCTGAGGAATCTCCATACTACTTTCCACAGTGGTTGCATCAATTTGCAGTCCTACCAGCAATGTGTGAATGTGCTTTTTTCCCCCACATCCTTGTCAACATTTATTGTTACTTGTATTCTTGATAATGGCTATTCTGCCTGGAGTGAGGTGATATCTCAGTGTAGTTTTAATTTGCATTTCTCTAATTTCTAGTGATGTTGAACATTTTTTCATATATTTGTTGACCATTTGTATTTCTTCTTCTGTGAAGTGTCTGCGCAGTCCCTATGCCCATGTTTTGATTAGATAATTTGTGGGGGGTTTCGTTGTTGTTGGTTTTGTGTTTTTTGTTTTGTTTTGTTTTTGCTTTTTTGTGTTTGTTTGTTTTGTGGGTTTTTTTTTCTTGGTGTTAAGTTGTTTGAGTTCTTTATTATATTCTGGAGATCAATGCTCTATATGAGACGCAGGTGACAAACATTTTCTCCTATTCCATAGGCTCTCTCTTCATGTTCTTGATTGTTTCCTTTGATGTAAAGAAGCTTTTTAGTTTGATACAACCCCATTTATTGATTCTTGATTTTACTTCTTGTGCTTTAGAAGTCTCGTTGAGGAATGTGGTTCCTAAGCCAACAAGATGGAGATTTGGTCCTACCTTTTCTTCCAATAGGCACAGGGTCTCTGGTCTAATACTTAATCCGCTTTGAGTTGAGTTTTGTGCAGGGTGAGAGATGGGGATCTAATTTCATTTGATTACATATGGATTTTTGTTTTCCCAGTACCATTTATTGAAGAGGCTATCGTTTCTCCAATGTATGTTTATGGTACCTTTATCAGGTTTGAGATAACTATGTAGTTTTGTCTCTGTGTCTTCTATTCTATTTGGTCTTCAAGTCTCTTTTGGTGTCAGTACCATATTGTTTATGTTACTATAGCTCTGTAGTATAATTCAAGGTCTGGTATCATAATGCTTTCTGCTTCACTTTTCTTTCCGAGGATTGCTTTGGCTATTCTGGGCCTCTTGTTTTTCCAAATGAATTTCATGACTGCTTTTTCCATGTCTGTGAAGAACGTCATCGAAATCTTAATAGGAATCTCATTAAATCTGCTTTTGGTAGTATAGCTATTTGACAATATTAATTCTGCCTATGCAAGAATATGGAAGATATTTCTAAGGTTTTGTTCAAGTTCTTTCTATGGTGTTCTGTAATTTTCACCATAAAGGTCTTTCACTTCTTTTGTTAGATTGATTTTCAAATATTTTTTGAGGCTATTGTGAATGGGATAGTTGTCCTAATTTCTCTTTCAGTTGATTCATCACTGATGTATGAGAATGCAATTAATTTGTGGGTGTTAATTTTGTATCCTGCTACTTTGCTGAATTCACTTATTAGTTCTAGAAGTTTTCTGGTGGAGTTTTTGGGTCTTATAAATAGAGAATCATGTCGTCAGCAAATAAGGATAGTTTGAGTTCTTCTTTTCCTATTTGGATCCCTTTAATTTCTTTCTTTTGTCTAATTGCTCTGGCTAGAGTTTCCAGGACTATATTGAGTAGAAGTGATGAAAGAGGGCATCCTGGTTTTGTTCCAGTTTTTAGAGGGAATGCTTTCAATTTTTCTCCTTAGAATTATGTTGGTCTTGGGTTTAGAATATATAGTGTTTACAATGTTGAGGTATATTTCTACTATCCCTAGTTTTTCTAGTGTTTTGTACACAAATGGATGCTGTATTTTATCAAATGCTTTTTCTGCATCTTTCGAGATAAGCATGTGATTCTTGCCTTTAAGTCTATTGATGTAATGAATTATGTTTATTGATTTCTGTATGCTGAACCAACCTTGCATCCCTGGGATGAACCCCACTAGATCATGGTGTACTCTTTTTAATATGTTTTTGTATGTGACTTGCCATTATTTTATTAAGAATTTTGCATCTATGCTCATCAGGGATATTGGTCTGAATTTTTTTTTCCTTGATGTTCTTTGTCTGGTTTTGGTATCCAGATGATACTAGCTTCATAGAATGAGTTTGGAAGGGTTTCCTCCATTTCTATTTCATTAGATAATTTGAAGAAGATTGGTGTTCATTCTTCTTCTTGTTGTTTTCAAAGTATTTTTTTAGTTGTATAGGGACACAATACTTTTATTTTATTTATTTACTGTTATGTGGTGCTAAGGATCGAACCCAGTGCCTCATATGTGCTAGGCAAGTGCTCTACCACTGAGCTACAAACCCAGGCCCCTCCTGGTTTTCTGTCCTGCTGGATGGACCCTTAAGGATAAACCAAGTAAAAAGCTTGGATTTTCCATCTCTCACTCCTTATCTGAATCATTGTGTCAAACAAGGGAGCTTTAAAAATAGTGTCCTTGGTTTTTGAAGTAAACTGTCCTGTTTCTTATTTCATTAGAACTGACCTTTGTTCTCCCCAAAGTTAGCCTCACTGATTCTATGTTTTCTCTGATAGGCATGCTTTGGATATTCGTGAACATTATGAAAGAAAACTTGAGCGGGCTAATAATTTATACATGGAACTGAGTGCCATCATGCTGCAGCTAGAAATGCGGGAGAAGGAGCTCATTAAGTATGTACCCAGACCAAAGAAGGTCCTTATTGATTCGAATCTGTCAATCAACAGAAATTACTCCTCTTGCATGTTGCTGCCACTCAGAACTGGAAGATATTTTATTTATTCACCCAACATTCCTTGAGGGAAGTGCTATGTCCAGGTCCCTGCCCTGGTCAGGCAAGTAGATAAGTGGAGTCAGTACAGAGCTGGGAACATGCTCTGGACTGGCTTTTTTTTTTTTTTTTTTTTTTTAATACTTCACCCTCCTGCGTGGTTCAGAGGAAGATGCAAGTTTATTTCAAGAAATTGGTGTGATTATGTGAGAGCTTACTGCCCCCTGGGGAAGTAAAATGGCTGCTAAAAATATTTCAAGGTATCCCTAATGGTGGCAAGAAATCCCTGAGGTCCTGATTAGAGCAGCAGCTACTAAAAATAAGAACTTTGGCCATTGTGTTGTGTTAAGGAAGAGAAAGGCCCAACTAAGTCTGTGAGCTGAAAAGTAGAATGAAGTCAGGTTAATTTGAATTTAGTATCTTCATTTTTATTATTATCATTAACCTTTTTATTCAAATAGCCTTTACCTGTTAAATGTGGCCAGAATTTAGGGGTAGAATTCGCCTGTGAAAACATTCTGCCCATCCTTTCTGTCTGCTGTGACTGCTATGTGGCTTTTTCTTTCATCCTACAGGCGAGAACAAGCAGTAGAAAAGAAGTATCCAGGGACCTACAAACGACACCCTGTCCGTCCAATAATCCACCCCAATGCCATGGAGAAACTCATGAAAAGAAAGGGAGTGCCTCACAAAGCTGGGGTGCAGACCAAGCGGTGAGACACCATTCCCACTTTATATTCAGAGAAATGGGATGATAATCCCCCAAAACACATTCTCATAGTATGATAGATGAGGCAACTTCTGTAACTCATTGATAGCACATCAGCTTTAGATAAAATAGAGTAGGAAGGTAAAGAAAATGGCTTAGACTCTAGAAATCTAGGTTTTACTATGTGAGACATGGATATTTATTGTCCTAGAACTAAATAGAGGAGAGAAATACAGTGGGGACTAGTCAGACCTGGGTTCAAATCCCAGCCCTCCTTTGTCAGCTCTGTGACTTGAGCCATACCATTCAGCCTCTTCCAACCCCAGTGCCCTTATGGGTAAAATGGTATAATCACAGTACATGAGATTTATTTATTTTTATTTTTATGACCGCTAGAACACAGAATTGAGTTAATCATAATTCTTTATTTATGACACATGGTTCATACATGGACTACTTTTATTTATACACTTAGTTCTTTTTAATAATGTAATAACTCATTACCAAAGAGGAGCTTTGATAATTACCTATATCTAACCATATTATCCCCCTCATTCTAATGCTACATAGGGTTTTTGTGAATTTTAAATAATGTAGAATCACCTTTCAAATCATAGGTGTTCAAAAAATAGTGTTCTGAGGCCTGGAGTTGTAGCTCAGTGGAAGAGTGCTTACCTAGCATACATGAGTCACTGGGTTTGACCCTCAGCACCATATAAAAATAAATAAATAAAGATATTGTGCCCACCTACAATTAAAATATATAAATAAATATAAATATATAAATATATATATATATATATATAGAGAGAGAGAGAGAGAGTGTTTTGAATAGTTTTTAAAAATCCTTTCCCATTTTTACAAATGCCTTTTATTAGTTTAATCATTTTTTTTAAAATTATAGATGGACTGGCTGGGATTGTGGCTCAGCGGTAGAGCGCTGCCTAATATCGGTGGGACCTGGGTTCGATCCTCAGCACCACATGAAAATAAAGGCATTGTGTTGTGTTGTGTCCATCTACACCTAAAAAATAAATATATGTATAAAAAAAAAGAAGTACACATTGTTTTTAAAAAATTATAGATGGACACAATACCTTTATTTTCTATATTTATCTTTATGTGGTGCTGAGGATCAAACTCAGGGCTTCACACATGCTAGGCAAGTGCTCTACCACTGAGCCATAGCCCAGCCCCTCTTAGTTTAATCTTAATCTTAGAGGCTGGAGGTATAGTATAGCGGTATATGCTTAGATGCACGAAACCCTGAGTTCAATCCTCAGCACCAAAAAAAAAAACAAAAAAGGTCATACTTTTTTACTCCTTTTTTATTACCAAACTCTGGAGCCTTATAACTCCAAAATAACAAAGAATTGGCTCTATTCTAGATAAAGATAAATTAATATAACAGAAAGAAGTGTTCCTAAACTTGAGGTGTAGACTCAATAGTGAGATTTGAACTAAATGCAGTAAGAATAAAGGTAATGAGAAAACACAAACCAGGGATTATTTTAAGGCTGTCTGAATGATGGCTGTCCTACCACAGCAGGACTAATGTCAATCTAAACTATTAATGAGTAACAACATGGATGAAGTCCAGTTTTGCTTTTACTTATCGCCCTTACTATCTTCTGGTCAAATTCTAAGAAACTCTTTTCAGGTGGCACCTGGCACAATCCTCACGGAAATCCCAGGGCCTTTATTTCTTTTCTTGTGCTAATGAGCGACAAAGTCCACCTACAGATCTTCCTTGGTTCTGCTTACAGTTTTATAACCTAGGAGTGTGTTTGGGCGGGAGTGGGACGTTCTATTTAACTTCTTTGTTTTGTTGTGGTGCTAGGGATTGAACCCAGGGTCTCTCACAAGCAAGCGAGGCAAGTGCTATACAGTAAACTACTTCCCCATCCCTTAACTTTTTAAAAATATGAACCTATGTTTGCTGTTATGTTGACTTGGAAAAGCTTGGTAAGTATATGAGCAGAACACCAGGAAGGCAATTCGCAGAGTATTGTACTGTCCATTGAGACTGCCCCTTGAATAATTAAAGTTTCATATTTTTTGGAGAGTCCTGTGATTGCTAAATCAGAAGTTCAGTGACCTATGAGGTAATCAGAGGAGAAACCATTCACCATCCTTACATCTAGGTTTCAGTTTGTGTTTAGTTAGGGACTAAAGGAGTGCTGATTTCAATTTTAGATCCTCTGAGCCTGTCCCAAGTGAATATAATCCATGAAGATAGTCTAAATATATACTAGTCATAAGCTTGAAATGGGAACTGTGCCTTGGAATTAAGCACCTTAGGTTCAAGTTATGTGTTCTGCTCTATGATGAGCACAAGCTAAGTAACCTGTGATCCTCAGTGCCCATATTTTTAAATTGGACATTTAAATAGTAGGAACCAGGCACTTTATATATTGTAAAGTGCTTTGCAAACTGTGTAACAAGGATACTCTGTGATTTTTGCACTGCCAGCTTCAGTAAGAGCAGCCTTCCCCTGACTTTAGATACTTTCACTTCAACTTTCCTTTAAATATCACCATAGCTAGTTACCCTGTAAGTAGATGCCTCCTCCCAGGCTTGGAAGGGCTCCCTTATCTCAGAAAAAGACCCAGAACTTCTTCAGTCCAAACAATTTCTGCAGTACATGTCAGCCAGCTGGACATCAATTTCAACTCTGGGACAGAAAGCTTTTGATAGACCTCAGGACCCTACTCCCCTTATCATAAACTAGTAATACATGGAACTTCTGTACTAAGATAAGCTTTTGATTGTCCATCTCCTACTGCTCAATGCCTACTAAGGCCCTATGAGCCCGGGCTGTGCTTGGTGAGGCTGTCAGCACAGCCCAGCTGACAGCCTGGTAGCAGTACAGATTCTTAGGCCCTACCCAGACCTACTGAACCAAAAAGTTCATTTTAACAAACTCCTCAAGTAATTTGCATTTACCATCAAGTTTGTACTCTGGCTGTCCAAGGACACTAGGACATACTACTCATCTGGATTCTGTCACTAGCAGGCTGTGAGATCCTGAACCATTTTGGATGACTCTGAGTTCCTCATCATATGTGGCAGAGGCTTCTGCCCACCCCCTTTCAAACAGCCTATTATATCCATTTTATATAGTGATTTCTCATAATAGTTCATTTGAGAGAATTATGTTGTTAAATAAAAATGTTTGGACTCTCCGGTTCTAAAATCTCCTACTGATTTGTATCTGTCTGGTCCCAAAGACAGGTGAGGCTATTTGCTGGGAGGAAGGAAGCGGTGGTACTTTCTGGTAATCCTACAGTCTCTAGCTTGAGACAGTTCATCAGCCCAGGAACCATTTGTTGTTTGCCTATGGACGTTGGAGTCAGAGTGGGCAGGATTTACCTCAGGCCTCCTTCCTCTTGCGCACGACTGGTCCAGTGGGAACTTGGAAATAGGGTTGAAAGAGAACCTTCATCCTTTAAGATCAAAGTAGAATGACAGTGTCACTTCCCACCAGTCCTTTTCTTGCTGCTGCTGCTCAAAATGAGCTCTCTCCCATTTTCCCCTTCTCTGACCCTTCCTTTTCTTCCTCAAAATTTACTGAGTACTCCTATAAATAAGACTCCTTTCTCATCTGAAGATAGACAGAACATAGTCCCAGCTCTTTAAGGGACCATGTCTAGGCTCCGTGAACTTAGCTTCATGTCCAGCGAACCTGAGGTTTCCTTTCTGTGGTACCAGACTTCTTTCCATGTGGTGCCCTGAGGGATCTGCCCAGCTCCATCACTGGACAGATTCCCAGCTGTAAACACCCAGGCCCTTACCTCGGCATATTGGTACCAATATACACACACGATTATGAGGAAGAGATCAAGAGCACTGTAGAGTAAAATTATGATTTTAAGAGGACTGAATACCTACATTAGGAAGACAGAATAAAATTCAGGAGGAACAAAGGAAATCCTCTGTAAGTGAACATTTAGGTTGTATCCAAGTTTTTGCTATTTTAAACAATACAGTAATATAACAACATACATCTTTGCACATTGTTATATCCAATGGATATATTCCTGCACATGGGACTGCTGATTCAAAGAGCATATTTTAGAGCTTGGGGTACATTTCCCCAAATTTGAATGTGGTTTTTTTTTAAGTATTTTTTTTACTTGTCAATAGACCTTTATGTTACCTTATTTATATGCAGTGCTGAGAATCAAACCCAGAGCCTCCCACAAGCTAGGCAAGTGCTACCACTGAGTCACAACCCCAGCCCTTGAATATGTTTTTGTGTCTAAAACTAAACCTGTTCTTTTCTCCTAGGCCAGATCTGTTGAGATCTGAAGGTATCCCCAGTACCGAGGTAGCTCCTACTGCATCCCCTTTATCTGGAAGTCCCAAAATGTCCACCTCAAGCAGCAAGAGCCGATATCGGAGCAAACCACGCCACCGTCGGGGGAATAGTAGAGGCAGCCATAGTGACTTTGCAGCAATCTTGAAAAACCAACCAGCCCAGGAAAATTCACCCCAGCCCTCTTACCTCCATCAGGCTCAGTCCCAGAACCCTTCTCTCCATCACCATAATCCTCTGCAGCAGCAATACCAGCAACCCCCTTCTGCCATGTCTCAGAGTCACCATTCCAGACTTGGTATGCACGGACAGGACATTGCAACCTGCGCCAACAACCTGAGGTATTTTGGCCCAGCAGCAGCCCTGCGGAGCCCTCTCAGCAACCATGCTCAAAGACAGATGCCTGGCTCTAGCCCTGACCTCATCTCCACAGCCATGGCAGCAGATTGCTGGAGAAGTCCTGAGCCCAACAAAGGCCAGGCTGACCCCTGGGGCTGCTGTCAGGCTGACCCTTATGACCCCTGCCTCCAATGCAGGCCAGAACAGTGTGGGTCCTTAGATATACCCACTACTGAGCCAGTGGGGAGGAGCCCCAACCTTTCCAAGTCACCAGCACACAATCCCCTCTCAGAAAATGCCCAAGGTTCTGAGAAAATGGAAGAAAATGAATTCAACAGCTGTGGGTCTGCATCATCCCTTGGCACCCCTCATCACATCACCCCCCCAGCACTACCTCGAAAATCAAGGCCCCTTCAGAAGGTAAGGTGTGATGACAAGAGTAGTCTATGTCACTGCCTTCAAAAAATGTCAGAGCCTATCTTATTATGCACATTATAAAATGTACATAAAAATATACATTTTGGAAAAGAACTAGACAACAAAAACACAAATAGAAATTTCTTTTATTTTAAATACTTTCCACATTGCTTAAGTGGTGGACTGGGGAGTACACTTTGAGAACTACTCACCTAGGGACTGATTTGTTTATAAATTCATGGATAACCATATATCAGGGATATGTAATCAGAACGGTTTGGAAACCTCTACCCTAGAACTCTAATCTGGAGGGCTACTGGAAGGATTGAATCATAAAATTAAATTTGAGAAATAGTATTCTCAGCCTCTTCTTGGAGATTCCTAGTACACATCACCACAGGTTTTGAGAAACCAGGTTTTGATAAACTTTTGTAATCCAGCATTTTCCTTACCTATTGTGCCACACCATGTTTTAAAAATAGCATCTATTAATCCCCCATGGAACTAGCTTTCTTTGCAGTACACTTTGGAAAATATTTTCTTAATTAATAATTGAAATGAGCTAACTAGTCACTGAAATTTGTTTCTTTCTCGTCCACTGGCTGTGTGGGGTTTATTAGCTGGGAAGCAGTCTACTCTAGTGGTTAAGATCATGAGTTTGGGAGGAGATCATAGTTCAAAGCCAGCCTCTTCCACTGTCTCCGTTTGTCTGTCTATAAAACAAGCCTAATAACGGACTCTGCCTCATGGGTTAATGTGAGGATTAAATGAATTAATACAAATAGAAGCAGTTAGAGCAGAGCCTGGAATGTAGCAACCTTCCCAAAACTGCTGCCCATCTTGCTTGTGTGTGTTTTAAAGATCATGTGAAAAGTGGAGAAGTATTTAGAACATTATAAACACCTACCCAGTTACTAAGTACTGTTTCATCTCAGCACTGTTCATCAGGTATGTATTAAAGGAATGAAAGAGTCTAAAATGTAAATAAGTATGTTTTGGTCACCTTAGTAGAAAACAAGTTGACCCTGGGGTCCATCATCTCAGAACTATGTTCTTCCTGCACATGTGTTGCTGCTACTGAGCAAGCATTCCTGGGATAAAATTGTGTTTCAAGAGGAGCAGTTGATTTGGGCTGATTCATTCCCCACTCTCCCACACCTATGGGCAATTACATGTAATTTTTTGACAAAATTTTATTAAGACGAAATCACACATCATACAGTCCTTCCATTTTAAGTGTATGATTTAATGGGTTTTTGTTTTGTCTTTGTTTGTTTGTTTTTGTTTTTTATTTATATATAACAGCGGAATGCATTGCAATTCTTATTACACATATAGAACATAATTTTTCATATCTCTGTTTGGTTTAATGGTTTTTTTTTTTTTTTTTAAAGAATACAATGAACATTTATTTGTCAACATATTAGGTAACCTAGATGAAATGGATCTAGAAAAAACACAAACTACCAAAACTGACTCAAGAAGAAATAAAAAATTAGTGTAACAAGAGATCAAATTATGTGAGCAAAAAATCTACAAAGAAAAGTCCAGGCCTAGAGAGCTTCACTGGTCAATTTTATCAAATGTTTAAAGAATTAACTCTAATCTTTAACAAACTCTTCCAAAAAATCAAATGGAAGGAAATGCTTCCAATTTTGCAATTATGAGCAATATTCCTGAGAACTTTCATGATATTGTCTAATTCTTCTAATACTTCTCAGACTGCATCTTCTCATTCTTCTTCCCTGACATTTCTCCCTTTCCTTAGGCATCTCATAAGAAAAGTCTTTGACCTTCTGCTCTGCTTCAGTCAACACTACCTGCATTTTTTTTTTAATTTTTTATTGTTGGCTGTTCAAAACATTACATAGTTCTTGATATATCATATTTCACAATTTGATTCAAGTGGGTTATGAGCTCCCATTTTTACCCCATATACAGATTGCAGAATCACATCAGTTACACATCCATTGATTTACATATTGCCATACTAGTGTCTGTTGTATTCTACTGCCTTTCCTATCCTCTACTATCCCCCCTCCCCTCCCCTCCCCTCCCCTCTTCTCTCTCTGCTCCCTCTACTGACATTCGTTTGTCCCCCTTATATTATTTTTCCCCTTCCCCTCACTTCCTCTTGTATGTACTTTTGTATAACTCTGAGGGTCTCCTTGCATTTCCATGCATTTTCCCTTCTCTCTCCCTTTCCCTCCCACCTCTCATCCCTGTTTAATGTTAATCTTCTTCTCATGCTCTTCGACCCTACTCTGTTCTTAGTTACTCTCCTTATATCAAAGAAGACATTTGGCATTTGTTTTTTAGGGATTGGCTAGCTTCACTTAGCATAATCTGCTCTAATGCCATCCATTTCCCTGTAAATTCTATGATTTTGTCATTTTTTAATGCAGAGTAATACTCCATTGTGTATAAATGCCACATTTTTTTTATCCATTCATCCATTGAAGGGCATCTAGGTTGGTTCCACAGTCTAGCTATTGTGAATTGTGCTGCTATGAACATCGATGTAGCAGTGTCCCTGTAGCATGCTCTTTTTAGGTCTTTAGGGAATAGACCGAGAAGGGGAATAGCTGGGTCAAATGGTGGCTCCATTCCCAGCTTTCCAAGAAATCTCCATACTGCTTTCCAAATTGGCTGCACCAATTTGCAGTCCCACCAGCAATGTACAAGTGTACCCTTTTCCCCACAACCTCGCCAGCACTTGTTGTTGTTTGACTTCATAATGGCTGCCAATCTAACTGGAGTGAGATGGTATCTTAGGGTGGTTTTGATTTGCATTTCTCTGACTGCTAGAGATGGTGAGCATTTTTTCATGTACTTGTTGATTGATTGTATGTCCTCCTCTGAGAAGTGTCTGTTCAGGTCCTTGGCCCATTTGTTGATTGGGTTGTTTGTTCTCTTATTGTCTAATTTTTTGAGTTCTTTGTATACTCTGGATATTAGGGCTCTATCTGAAGTGTGAGGAGTAAAGATTTGTTCCCAGGATGTAGGCTCTCTATTTACCTCTCTTATTGTATCTTTTGCTGAGAAAAAACTTTTTAGTTTGAGTAAGTCCCATTTGTTGATTCTAGTTATTAACTTTTGTGCTATGGGTGTCCTATTGAGGAATTTGGAGCCCGACCCCACTGGTTTAATGGTTTTTATCTACAGATTTCTTCAACCATCACCACAACCAATTTTAACATTTTCATCACCCAAAAAAAGAAATGCCATACCCTTTGACAGTCAACCCATTTCCCAGTCTCCCACAAATAACATGTAACCTCTGAACCATCCTGATGCCATTTTGATGCCCTCTATGGGAGTGCAGGCCCCAGTACACACACCTCGCGCATTTGTCCTCATTCACCCCACGCTCCCGCAGAGCGGCTCACCTCCTATAACTGAGATCCGCTCCCATGTGGATTCCAAGGGTAAACTGCTCATCTCAGCAGTCAGGATAACTCCATTCCTGCCTTTCATATTCAAAAAAGTATATCAGAATACAAATGAGTAAGAGTTATTGGATTTTAGAACTGACTTTTTGAAAGGTAAATTAGCCTCAATATTTGGTATGACTTGGACCCAGTCACCCAGCTCACAAAATTACATAATCCAGGGTGTCACATCGCTGAGCATGGTTGTTCCTAAGTGTGGCTGCTTTTCTGCCTTGATGCCAGATGAGATTTTCCCTGGAAGGGAAAATTTACCTTTTCAACTGGGACACTTACACAGCCTTCCAGCTAGACCACAGATCCCAGCTGTTGTGGGGTCTTCAGTGTCCCAGACATAGCCGCCTTATCCCTGCCAACATGCTCATTCAATAAAAATGCACAAAACACTTTGTTCTATTTATTTATTTATTTAGGTGTCAGGAGTCAAATCCAGAGCATCTCATAAGCTAAGCAGGCATTCTATCACTGATCTTCCTAGGCCCCCACCTTTTTTAAAAAATTGATGAATAAAATATATATTTAGGGTAATAAACACCTATTTTGAATACAGCATTGCATTGGAGTAAGGAATAAAATACAAACAAGCTGTGGTCTGATCCTCAAATAATGTATGTCCTAGTGTAACTATAATATTAGTTAAAAGTGAGGGGAAAACGTATTGTTGGGCTTTGAAGAACCGAGAGATCATTCTTGGAGAATCGCAGTGACAATGCTTGGAACTGCTAATGACAAAATCAGAGTCTGCCCACAAGTCCATGGCCTCCTCTCCTGGTTCCCCTCCATCATCACCTCTGACTGAACTCTTGGAGGCTTCTCCTCCCTGAGGGCAAAGATAAATTTTCTACTCAGTTCTGTATGTTCCCCACATCTAGGATAGGCCCTGTCACCTTGGACACCCAGGACAAGTTACTAAATGAATGAATAAGAATACATATGTTTAAAAAATCCAGCCAACCACTACCAAATGTTTTTGATAATAATGAAATTTTTTTTTACAGATGGTACAGGGTGTGGGGAAGAGAGAGAGAGATGCCAAAATAAATAAAAGCCTTTTCTTCTTATTCTCCTCAGAGTGGAGATGATTCCTCTGAAGAAGAAGAAGGAGAAGTAGATAGTGAAGTTGAATTTCCACGAAGACAGAGGTAAAACCAAACTGTCCATGATTGCTTTCAATGTAACGGAGTAAATCTTGAGTTTGTTGCATTTGGCTGTTCAACCCACAGGTCATTTTCTTTTTCTATTTCTTTTTTTTTTTTTTGTACCAGAAATAGAACCCAGGGGCACTTAACCACCAAGCCACATCCCCAGTACTTTTTAATATTTTATTTAGAGACAGGGCCCTACTGAGTTGCTTAGGGCCTTGCTAAGTTGCTGAGGCTGGTTTTGAAGTCCTTCTGCCTCAGACTCCTAAACTGCTGAGATTACAGACATGTGCCACCCTGCACGGCAACCACAGGTCACTCTTAACAGACACTTTATAGAGAAACTTGATCTCGCTGTGTTCATGTTCTTATGTTCTTCCATTGTCATATTTTGAAATTTCCCTGTACACAGTAGATCTTAGTTCATCAGAATTTATTTCATAGGAACTTCAAAATAAGGAATGTAAATGCAGATCCACCATTACAATAGAGAAGACAGTGGGAGGGATGGCCATACTCTTTGTGGGTACATTTATTGGTTCCTAGCGGACCTCCCTGAGTTAGTCTGCTCAGGCTGCTGTAATAAAACCACAGACTGGGTGGCTTAAACAACAGAAATTTATTTCTCACAATTCTGAGCTCTGGAAGTCTGGGATCAAGGTAACAGCTGATTGAGTTGCCAGTGAGGGCACTCTTCCAAGCTTGCAGACAGCCACATTCTTGCTGTGTCCTCAGAGGGCAAAGAGGGAAAGATGAGGAACGAGAATCTTGGGGAGACATAATTCAGTCCTTAGCACCTCTCTATTACTTTAAAATTAAATGGTACCCATCTTGATTTTTTAGTCTTCCTCAGGGATGGCAAAAATAAACTAGATTACCTCTCACCAAGACTGGCTGACAGATAAAGAAAAGGCAAGTAGCTGCCCCTGTGACGAAGTTCTTGTGCTTCTCCCTACTTCTAGGCCCCATCGCTGCATCAGCAGCTGCCAGTCCTATTCCACCTTTAGCTCTGAGAATTTCTCTGTGTCTGACGGAGAGGAGGGAAATACTAGCGACCACTCAAACAGTCCTGATGAGTTAGCTGATAAACTTGAAGACAGCCTGGCAGAGAAGCTGGACGACCTGCTGTCCCAGACTCCGGAGATCCCCATTGAGATATCCTCCCACTCAGATGGGCTCTCTGACAAGGAGTGTGCCGTGCGCCGCGTGAAGACGCAGATGTCTCTGGGCAAGCTGTGTGTGGAGGAGCGTGGCTATGAGGTAGGTGCCACTCCTTCCTCTCTCTTTCCCTCTTGGTTCCTTTGGGCCAGGATGTGCTCCAGCCCTTAGGGCCTTTACAGTTTCCATTTAGTATATAAAATATGACAGCTGCCTCCATGACGTGGAAGCACAAGATAACTGAGCTCCCAGAAGTGAGGCCAGTTTCCCCAAATGAGGCATAAACACTGAAATGCTCAGGAACCCTTCATTTCAAGATTTAACTAGGGGGGCTGGGGATGTGGCTCAAGCGGTGGCGCGCTTGTCTGGCATGCGTGCGGCCCGGGTTCGATCCTCAGCACCACATACCAACAAAGATGTTGTGTCCGCCGAAAACTAAAAAATAAATATTAAAAAAAAAAAAAAAAGATTTAACTAGAACCTCACCTCCTCTCCACGCCGTCTCCCAATCTGGTTAAGAAGCAGAACCTTCTCCCTCTGTGTTCCTAGTCTCCCCTGGAAGATGCTGTTGCAGCACATAAAATACTTTATTGCATGTCGTGTATTATGCAGCTGGAGAGACAGACTAGCATCATGTTTAAAAGGAGTAATAAAAATGGAGCAGAGGCTGGGGTTGTAGATCAGTGGTAGAGTGCTTGCCTCACATGTGGAAAACACTGGGTTTGATCCTCAGCACCACATAAAAAATATAAAATAAAAGTATTATGTCCATCTAAAACTAAAAAAAATGTTTTAAAAAAATGGAATAGTTCTCTTCACAGACAAAAAAGCAGGACAAGAGAGGGAGGCATCATACTGTCTAAAAGCAAATCCCAGACCTCCCACTTACTGTGTTACCATGGGCAAATCACTGAATCTCCGAAGGTCAATTTTTTTAATCTGTAAAGTGGGGATAATAATATCTATCTACCTTAACTACCTGTCATATCTATGAGGTATGATCTCTCTCAGAGATGTGGTGAGCATTACATGAATTAACAGATGTAAAGCACTTAATAATAGTGCCTGATAACACTATAGTAAATACCACTAAGTGGGAGGTGTGGAGGTCTATACCAATGGGCCTAGCTACCATCATTATCAACTTCATGTCTCTTTTCCCCATAAGCCCCAAGGACAGGACCTGGTCTCATTTATCTTTATATACCCTACCCTACACAGTACCTGTCATGGGGGAGATGTTCAATCTGGGCTCACTGAGGAATTGTAGAAATGAACTGAATTTTCTCTTGTCTTGGCTTTACAGAACCCTCTGCAGTTTGAAGAATCAGACTGTGACTCTTCAGATGGGGAGTGTTCTGACGCCACAGTTAGGACCAATAAACACTACAGCTCTGCTACCTGGTAATGAAGGAACACCCCTCCAGAAGAGCTCATGGCGTGCTGGTGTTTCAAATCCTCCACCCCCTAGACTCCTCCCTTTCTCTTCCTGCTTTTTGTCAGGGAAGAGAACTGCCCCATCTTTACCACCCCTAGAAATGAGCTGCAATAACAGGAACATGAGACTTGGCAAATCTCTGGAAAAAAATATCCAAATGAAATTAAGTCTCACTGAACATTTCAATCAAGAATGGCAGGGATCTATTTTATTGAATATTCTAGCTACTGTAACATTGATATTTATTTTTGTTGGACATTTTAACACTTTGTACTGTAAAGAGTGAACTATATATGATATATAGAGAGAGACACAATAATTTCTTGCAAAAAAAGAAAAAGAAAGAAGAGGACTTTAAGAGCAACATACTTGGGAATACTTGGGGCCAGGAGGTATTATTGCTGCTTCCACAGGGGACCAGGTCTTTTGGGCATAAGTGACTGAAGAGCCAGAGCAAGACATATTGAGCATTTTAGAACACAAAGAACAGCAAAAGAAAACACAATTCCAGGTAACTTGTGAACAGATCACATTAAGTTCAACCAGCTTGTCCAGGTGGGTGATGGAAATGACCAAGAGAAGTTCGGTGACCAGAGGTATTAAAGGCATGTGCTTCCTCTAGGAGGAGATAAACAAACAAAACTGAACATGGAAACTGACTTCATTTTTCAGACTTTAAGCAGCATTTGGTAGTGAGGCTTACAGATTGCATCACACCTTGTCCCTGGCAAATACTTCCCTTTTTAATGCTGTCATTGTTGTTATCTTGGCAAATGTATTACCTTGACCAATGTGTTGATCTTTCAGATTCAAGTGCCATTTTCCTATAGCTTTTTTCCTTTCTACTGTTGACCACTTCCTTTAGGAAAAAGGGAGGAGTTGCTGAGGAGACAAGGATGAGAGAGAAAGACCACCCACAGCAATGTTAGAAAAGCAAGTGTGAAATTTGTGAAAGCATGTTCTCAGGATGGTCAGTTCAGCTATATGGAGAAGATGGAACCACCATTCTAGAACAGGTGGTTTGTCTGCTAGAATCATATTGATTCAAATAGGAGAATAGAATTTGAAGGCAGCTAGGATGTGTGTGTGTGTGTGTGTGTGTGTGTGAGTATGTGTGTGTGTGTGTCTGTCTGTCCAGCATCCAATCCCAAACCATCCCCTTGTTTTGATTCATTAACCCAATCTGTGCTGGAAGCTTTAGTGACTGGCTGTCATTGTTAGAATAAAGGCAAAATAATCAACTTGCAAAAAGCAACCCTTTTCGAACCACAGTAGCATTTTTGTTAAATGCTACTTGTAAAATATGTTTTAGTTCACTCTAAATCAGTGCAGTTTTGATTAATTGGATTTGGAAATTCATGGAAAGAATTTCACAACTGATTCTGAGCAGGGAATTGGAAAGATTTTACTTTGTCAAAAGCTTGAGGTTTTTCCTATCTCCAGGGACATGGGTTCTAAAAAGCATCAAAAGGTACTTCATGGTGCCTGGCTTCAAGGAAAATTTTATCTAGAATTTTATATACAAATAGATGTTGACCTAATTCTTGTCTCTGTCTCTAAGAAAACATACACTTGCTCTAGACCCTCTGACAGTGTGTCCTGTTGGATGTTAGGAAAGACTTGCAAATACTAAACCATTTCCAATGCAAAAGAAAATGGTACCCTCCTCTGGGTGCCAGTGATTGCATCAGCCAAAAAGGAAAGGCAGGAGGGAATTTAGAGCAGTTCCTTTTGTTTGTTTGATCCCTCCATTTGTTTACACTTTATGTTGATAAATTGATTTAAAATTTAGTGTCTATAATTTGTAGTTCATCAGTAGGATGAAAGAAAATGTTTAACTTATACAGAGAGCAGTATTGTTTGCATTAAATTATTCCATTTTGTATAATTCTGTAGCTGGACTACATGAAAGATCTTAAGTTATGGCATTATTATCATTGTTATTTTATTTTATAATATTATCATTCTCATTTTCTGTCGACCAGAAGGTGCAGTTTATGATGTAGCACAATGATTGTGTTTATTGCTAACCATGAATCATTATGGATTTTATGATTTTAATGAAGGTATGAACATGGGACTGCCACTTAGGAGCTCCCTGGTAGTCACTGTAGTTGTGTCCCTAATTTTCTGTGTACAATGATCATCTGAAGATGCATGTTCTGCCCCAAAGTCCAATGGACACAGTGTGGTTTGACTCCATCACGAAAGCTCTCAGTGGGCAGATGATTAAGAGAGTGGACAAATTGTTCAAAACTGTAAACTTTCTCAAATTTCTTAAGAAATAAAATCATGGGACTGCATTAGAAGCAAAAAGAATTATTTAATCCCCCCAAGAAGAACAAACCTAGAGAGTTCATGGAACTCATGGATTAATTTCAAGAATTGACATTATGGTTTATAATCTCCTTCCTGCCAGAGCCCACAAAACCATCCTTCTCTCCTAAATGAGAGTAGCAGGAAGACTAAAAGAAGAATATATACATATATATTTCCTGGCCATGATGTCATCCCATCATGAATAAAGAAATTCAAGGAGGCCAAGTCACGTAGAGGATCATGGGACTTAGAAGAGTACCTTGAAAGATGCTATTTTCCATTCTCTGACTTCAGATTTCCCTGCACTTTGCATCTTTGTGGTTCATTGCTCCTTGGAATGCAGAATGCTACAACTGTGTCTTCTGTTCAATACAAAATACCCACACTTGTTCATTTAGGTTTATACCCACTTTTAGTGTCAACAGAGAAATATGAGGGTCAATTTTTGTCTTTAGATCTTTCAGTGATGGTCTTCCTAGAACGTCCACCCCTGATGCCTCATAATTTTGATCAATTTTTTGAATTCTCATCTTGGCTATCTGTCATACTAATGCCACCTTATCTTGATTTACTATTTTGAGCATGTTAGGGAAATAGATAGTCTTGAAACTTCAGCCATTTGTTAGTCAAGATTTTAATAAAGTCCACATTGAATAACTTTTGAGTAGAATTGACTACAGTTTTCAGAAAAGAATGGTGTCCTCAGTCAAGGTTAAAAGGGAGGGCTGGGGATGTAGTTCAGTAGTACAGGGCTTGCCTAGTGTGTGTGATGTACTGAATTCAATCCAGAAGAGTTGAATCAAGAGCTCAGGGAATCTAAGAGCTTATTCTTTGGGTCCTATCAGCCTGAGTAGTGCTTCAAGGAACCTCACAGGACTATGACTTCAGGCTTCCTCACAATTGAAAGTCTAAATCTCTTGGGTTCAACGTCTACATTCATTGAGCATTTGTGTTTGGCTCACTTCAAGATGAGTTTCAATTTATATTGCAGATGAGTATTTGGTTTTGATCTCCATTCTTTTTCTAGATCATGTCCTCAAATACAAATTTCTCTTAAAATTGGTTAGTAGAAGGACTTTGAAATTATAATGGATCTCTTACCACCACTCAAGTTTAGACCTGTTTGCAAGACTGTGGGGAGCTCCCACCCAGAAACATAAAGATGCTAGCTAGCTGTCATAAGTTGATTTGGTTTGGCCTACTTGAAGTTCAAATATTTTAAAACTTTAGTATCAACAAATTCATCCTTTTAGGATGAAGATCGTATATAGTAGGATTTAATAAGTACTGGACATTTACTCCAGGTCTCCTTGTGCTAAATTTTCTTCTAGCCTACCCTACGTAATAGATGTGATGGTTTGGGATTTCCCTGGTACTATCCTACCAGATTTAAATGCCCCGATCCATTGTGGAGCACTGGCATCCTGTATGTGAATGCTTCCTCATTAATGAGATGCTTTACTTTTTTTTTTTAATGCCTTTATATCTCAGTTTTTTCCTTAAAACATTCCTACTTGAACTTCCTAGAACTTAGTTCTCCAGAACAGAACAGAATATTTGGAATCCAAGGCATTCCTGTCCTACTGCTCAGTATATGTGGTATATCTTGTTTCCCCACTAAGCCAGAAACCAGAACCACCATATACCACCCTCTTCCATCTCTGTCCTAAACACTGAAGACCAGCATTACTTAAGGAGCACCATATTCTTTCCTACTGCATCTACTACTCCCAACACAGCACTTGGAGCAACAATTACCACTTGATTGGAATTGGTGAACAAAGGGAAATCTGTTGACTATCCCAGCTTTAAACTCATAATTACTTTCTGAAAGTGAGCTCTTGAGCTTTTTGAGCTCTTGAGTTTGCCCTGATGGAAGAACAGGATCACACCAGTGTTTTCCTTCTGGATCCCACACAAGGCTGGCAGGGGCATACCAAGACAGGGAAACGGCCACTTACCTCTACTCACTGCCCTTTTGGACCACACTTCCACTTGAACACTTACCATTTGCTGATGGATCAACCTCCAAATGTCTCCTCATCCAATCATCTAATTGTGTTGAATAAACATGTTCTTCCTTCACTGTCTATAAACAGGAAGTTAATGTTCTAAGTCCTGGTTACTTGCTTCCTCCCAAGATGCTGTGAGACTAACGTGACATTCTTTTCAAGACTTGTCTTGTACTGTCAGTATGAATTTAGTGCCTTTCCAGGCAGCAAGGTTTTTCTTTGCTGATTTCATAGAACAAATGCCACACCACCAATGTTACCCACTTTAGAGATTGGCCCATTAGAATCGTTAGTTTGCTTATTTGCATGTTACAACTGATACTGCAAATTGGAATGGATGAAGCTGCTAAGTGGAGGACCCTTGTGGAACCTGGAGTATTTCTCAGGGACAGGTGGCAGAAGAGGGGAGCTCTGAAATTGTAGCTCTGAGAAACAGGAAAAGGAACTGGATTAAGGCTTTGGTTAACTGTTATGTGGCCAAGGCATGATAGCAGGATTTTACACAAGCCAAGCGTCAAGCAGATGGCAAGGCCACTATCAGGAAGCTTCCAGCAGAATCACAGGCCTGCCCAGAGCCACTTCACAGCACTCAGGGGATCACTGGCTCCTGGCCTCAGGCTGCTGTCCAGTGACCATGGTCCTCCGATGGTTGCAAGCCAGAGGGAACCCCAGCCAGGACCTGCAAGCTTTTAGGAAAATGTCCCATCTTGACCATATCACCCCAGTGGCTCTCCATCTCCAGAGTGACCACATCCCAGACTCTGGAAGTAGGAAGATTCTCTTACAATAATTTGAGTTACTCTAATGTGGAGCAAATGAATCTTTTGTGGTAGATCTCAAAATGAACTCCTTCATCTGTCTCTCCTGCAGTCACCTGCACTGTTCATTCCCCTGCTCCTTGTGTTGTTTTCTGATGCTGGCCCCTCTTTGTATTGAACAGCAATGGAACGAGAATGACTATCAAAGCAAACAAATGCATGAAATTAAACAAAAAGTGTACTTCACTGTTTTCTGGTTCTTCCTTTTTAGAACGGTACTGTCTGTATCCTGTGAGCTGCCTTAACAAATGTGTCAGTATTTGTCAGAAATTCAGACAATAAAAGACTTTACATGAGTAGGTTTTCTGCAGCCAAGAAAAACAAATGATGGGGAAAGTTGGTTTCTGAGACCCTGGGGTTTCAGTCACAAGCACAAAAGGAGCCATCGTGTTTGTTAGACTCTCTTTTTGAGTTTTCTGTAAAAGCCTAGATGGGCACTCTGCTTCTTCCCTGTGCTACTCTGCTGCCCATCCTGCAGGTGCTTCTGTTACTAGTGACCCTACTATAACACGAGCAGAGAAAGGAAAACAGGAATCTGGAATCATTTTGGTGAGAGGCCTGGTGATAGTGGAACACTAAAACACCATTTGGGGTTTTACAATTTTCAGTCAATCGTGATTCCCACTGGTAAAGGCAGTTAAAAGCCACATGTACAAACAAAGATTTATGTCCATTTATTTATTACATAACATTTATATCCATTTATTTGGTAAACCACTTTACTTGTAAACAGATAAGGCACATTGTTGCAAAATCATGCAGGAAGGAGACAGATCTAAGGATCTGTAAAGGGGCAAAGAGCACACATTTGCAACAGTGTGGAGAACTCCCTGGCTCTTCCCTCCCTCTACTCCCAAACACAAACAAAAGCCACTGATTTCAAAGTCCAGATAGGCCTCCTCCTCACCCCAACTCTTGTTATCAAGGCTTTAAAACACACACACACACACACACACACACACAAGGGTTGGGGATTTAGCTCAGTGGCAGAGTGCTTGCCTAGCACACGCAAGGCCCTGGGTTCAGTCCTCAGCCCTGGGGGGAAAAAAGCTAAAAAAAAAAAAAAAAGCAAACATATTTTTAAAAATGAAATCTCTGCTGTGAAAAGACCATACCATGTCCCAAAACACTATTTTGGAACCCATTCTTCCTATGGAATGTAAGTATTCCAAAGAATTCATGTAGAACAAGAGGCTCAGATTAAAGCCTTGGCGAGATTCTTGGCCAATCCAAACAAACAAACAAAAACCCAATGGATGATGCTCAAGAGTAGCAGTTCTGATAAATTATGAGAATACAGGATTGCAGAGCTGGTCACTTTAGGTGCCAAGCACCATTTGTCCATAGAGGCAGTAATGTAGGTCCCTGCCAAGCCAATACTGCAGCTATAGGAAGCAATAACAACCTTAGGTAATTAAAATACAACACAACCAAGTAATAAGACTAACTTTTCTCTTTGAATTAAAAAATACTATTACTTATCAGTTTTTCTCAACAAATAACAAAAACATTCATAGGTATACTAGTGTACTGAATCCATTCTCCAGAAGGAGGTAGAAGGGATTCCCAACTGAAAGGACATATTAGATAATGTACAGATTGTCATTTCATTCAGGTGACTCAAGGGCCCTGCCCTGTCCAGAAGAGTAAGGATTTCCCTACTGTAGATCCATAACATAAAGTTTGTTCCATTCATATTTAATAATCTGTTTACAGTTAGCTTAATTGTCAGGACATATAACCATGAGGAGATTTGACATACATGGTTAACATCACTGTGTCTGAACACAGAGCATCACAGAAATCACTTTACACTTAAGCTACATGTGGAAGTCTTAGGCCGTTTCCCTTGGCTTATGGAAGAGGTAGATTAGCAGCAAAAAAAAAAAAAAAAAAGTACATAAGAAACATTTCAAGAGACTAACAGCAGGTGGAGAGTCATGTCAGCAATGTGGGTTCACAAGTCAGCAGTGATCCTAATAACATCCATGGAGATTTAACAGAAGAACACGTGTCACACACAGCCTATCATTTTGCAAGAGGTACTCTGGACAAGGACAACCAACTTCTCCCAAGGCAGCCCAGGAGTGGGCAAGAGGCAAACCCAACAAACCACCCTGAGTTCCTTTTTAATTAATAAAACAAGAGATGGGATTTTCTAGGAGGCCACCCATACCCAGTCCTGCCAACGCAAGGCCAGACCAAACTAGATACGATTCACCTTTTAAAGCTGAGTGCCCTTTGTGACAAGACACTGCACACAGATGAACAGTGTCCAGATTACCTGGTGAGGGTAATTAAAAATCAATGAGGACCTTCAAAGGACCACACCCAGTAACAAATCATCAAGAGTCCAAGGATGTGGCAAACAAAAAATCCAGATCACGTGTCTTTTCTATTTATATGATTAGTGTTGCTTGGCTCATTCAATTGCAGGTGTTTCTGGCTAAATTTTTTAATGAGAGTTCCAGGAACTAAGGCCACCAGAGCAATGGCCAACAGCTTAAAGACTGTTCCCCAGGAGAAGAGAGCATCCAGAGAGGTTAGGGTTGACAGGATGGAGCCTGTCTGCACACAGATGAAATTGTATGGGATCAAACCTGGAAAAAGAAAAGGGGAAAGAACCTGTTAACAGGAGAGTGAAAATGAAGAAAATAACATAGAATTCAGAACAGTGATACCAGCTTTTTGCCCAACCCCTGACCCCTAAACATATTCTCTCCTCTCCACCTTTCCATTCTTTTCCTTCCTTTCCTCACTTCCCATATACATGTCTTGTTCAGCAAAAGAACTTCTGATGGTCTACACAAATATACATAAATATGTGTGTATATAATTTACATATATAAAATCCATTTTATTTAATTTTTCCAAATTAAAATTTTATTAAATTTTTCCAAATTTTATATGTATAAATTACACACACACACATATTATACATAAACCATTTAGATAAACATTTTAAAATTGAAAAGACAAAATGAATGCAGAACAGTAAAATAAGGGAGCAAGTTAGCAAAAACAAGAATATGCATGAGGTTCACACATTTGCTAAAGGTAGACCCTGACTTTGGTCCTGAGCACCCTATAATCACAAAGAAGAGAGAAACACCATCATTATAAGATTTACAGTATAAGATTAAAAATACAAACAGGGCTGGGGGGTGTAGCTCAGTGGTAGAGTGCTTGCCTAGCATGCACAGGTCCCCATGTTCTAACCCCACCACTATAAACACACACACACAACAGTTTCTTAAAAGGAGTACTATTTTTCATATTCTCTAAGAAGTCATCAAAGCCACTAGATCCCAAAAGTCTGGCTGGTAGCTGGAAAGGCTGGTCACTTAAGCATCTTTTGGTCAAGTTAAAAACATTCTCAGGGCTGGGGATGTGGCTTGGTGGCCCAGTGGTAGAGCACATGCCTGGCATGCATGAAGCCCTGGGTTTTATCCCCAGCACTGAAAAAAACAAAACAAAACAAAAAAAACATCCTGAGCACCCCCCCACTCCCAGATATTCTAGTTACTTGGTTCTAGAGTACTGCCCAGGAACCTGTGTTTTAAGTCTCTCCTACCCCCACCCCTAAGCTTCTGACTGGTCTGGGACCCCTATAATCCATTCCCTCTCTATAGCAGAGGAAGTACATGGGAGATGATAGAACACTCAAGGTCATACAGTTGGGCAGGCAGGAACCCTGTCTCCAGAATCTTCCTAAGCCTCATTCTACCTAGGTAATTTCAAGCTGTTAACTGCCATTAGCTGAGGTACGGAGGCACTCTGTCTGAAAGCTGATATGACCAGACTTGGCTGTGGTTGATCTTGCTTCGATTTAAGATCTCACTTTCTCTCAGGCATTGCCTATTAATAGCAGCCACTCCACTACAGATTTGTTATGTTTGACCGAAAAGCCCTGAATGTCATTCCCTCCACACTGAATTTAGTTCCGAGATTTAAGAGAAGGTAATACTTGCTTTAGGCTTAAATAGGGTGGTTTACTTCTAGCATGGGGAAAGTAACAGTCACTGATCTTACAGGATGTTTGTGTTTTACCATTTCTAACACAGGTGATTCAAAGCCTACACTCTGAAAACACTGCTCTAGTCCCAGCCCTTTATCTGGCAGCCTGTTGAGGATGAGTAGCTCTAATGGAGGTCGTACAATTGTCAAACCAAGGGGAGACATCAGATGTCCTCTAATTCAGTAGATTGCCCCCATCTTCTTGGAGGTAAGCACGTGCCCATGTGGCAGGGGACCCAGGGAAGTTCCCCAACACAACATCTCTGAAGACTCCAACTTAATCCTCTAGCATCTTACCAATAAGAACTGAGAAGAAGAACTGCACAATAGGGATGTTCAGAATCGGGGCTGAGAGATTCAAGAACCAGTTTGGTGTCATAGGGAAAAGTCTCAAAAACAGTAAAAAGAAGAACAAGCTGTTTCTGTTCTCCTCCACCTGCAGCAAAGAGGACAAGACATTAGGAAGCAGAAAGGCATCTGGGCACTATTCTGGACACTTTACATATACTACTCCCAACTCTTTCCATAACCCTCTAGGGTAGAGACTGTTTTCCCCATTTTAAAATCAGAGGTGCCTAAGGATCAGAAAGCCTGGGAACTTGCCCAAAGCCACAGAAATTTGATCCCAGGTCTGTTATCCTGAAGACAACAGAATCCCTAAGTCCTCGGGAGGCAGGGCAAAGGAGAACTATGGGAGATCTCTGCTCCTCACTCCCCGTAGGCCATGAGGTGACTCTCAAGGAACCAATACTCGGATGTGCCCTACTCCTTACCTTCCTCTGCATCAGGGCCACTTTATCAGGGAAGTAAGAGACCACCAGCTGTTTGCCAAAAATACTGGAGAGCAGGTAGCAGCATGTGGCACCCACCGAGGTTAGTATACAGCATAGCACGAGTCCTAGCCATGGCCCAAACAAGGCACCGGCTAATACGTTCTGCAAAGAAAGCAAACCCTCAGCCATGAAAACATCTGGTAGCTATCATCCACATTATCATGGAGCCCTAGAGTCACAGGTTCCCTCCTCCTAGGAATCATACACCAACCTCAGTCTCTTTACCTTTAAAACAAGAACAAGGAGTAAAGCCTCAGAGGACAGAAGCCAATTAAAAGAGATAATGTGCGTATACAGCATCCAGTCTACTGCATAGACCTGAAATCAACTATAAGA